ACAGTTCGATAATAAAACACACATTATTTGCTAGTTTTTATCGAAGCAAATATCTATGTCCACTGTTTTAATAACATATCGAATTTTAACTTGCGGGATACCTGCAAAAACTTAGGGGAGGAACTTAATATAAAACTTAGGGGAGGAACTTTCAAGTAAGTTTCCACTTACCTAAGTAATATGAGGTACACACATTTTATGACTAAAATATACAATATACATGCTTTGTCTTTCAGTCGGTTGGCATTTTTTAAAATAGATGTTTACATTTCCTTAATATAACTTTGATGGGTACATAGTAGGTTGTCACTAAGTTAGTAACACTTAACAGCCCATTGGCCGTCACTTGCAACCTTAAGGACGGTGGTTCAAACCCCAGTAAATGAGTTCGCTACTCGTAAATTTGTGCCAAGTGCGTAGACAAGACTAATTAGGCTTAGTGTGCCTTGGATGTCATTAGTCATTTCTGTCCACTTCATAAGGGACAACAGACGTGAGAGATCATTTATTTTTTCGTATTCGTTTAGTCATAGTACAAGCTTTGCTTAGATTGCGACTAGATAACGTTTTCTAAACGTATTTATTTATAATAATAATAATAATGCATTTTATTTTATTTCTCCTCACAATACACGACAACAAAGTACAATATCATAGTTGGTACAGCTTCAGTAAAAAAATATAATCAGGTAATTAATCAGGTAATTGTGCGGAGCTGTCTATTATAGGTGTAAACCTGTATTAAAACAGGTGTATTTCATTTTCTTTATTTTTATTCTGAAACATATATATTTTCGATGCTCGCGATTCTAGCTCGTTACGAATCAGCACTAAAAGCCAGGCTTCAGTCCGTACGAACTGGCGTCTCGGCCTTCATGTATTAAGAAGTAACCTGAAACAAGACGCGCCAATAAATTTAACCCGCGCTCGGTCGACTTTACGAGCGCAACGTAAGTAATGTAATCTCTACGGGACGATAAAAATAAACACGTGAAAGTTTAAAAACCCTGTGATAGTTCTGGACTATGTGCTTGTCTTTATTATGCTTGTCTTTATATTGCGCCACGCTTTTAAAGTTATTTATGCAAAATAACAGTTGTTATAAAAGCAATACTTGTGCGTTGGTTGAGTCTTTTGCTGGGTGGATTTATCAGAATGATCAATTAAAAGAGTTTAACCATTCTTTTGGCAACTCAAATGACATTTGAAAAGCCATTTGATGGTTAAATAAGTAATAGATCATATCGATTAGAATGATTAAATTCAAAGAGTTTCCACCAGTCCATTGTTTGGGCAACTTAATTTCTGCGATGATCATTGTTCAGAAACCGGGCGTAAGTCTTTAAATTTCAATAGTATCTTATATATAAAAATGGATTGCTGTTCGTTAGTCTCGCTAAAACTCGAGAACGGCTGGACTGATTTGGCTAATTTTGGTTTTTAAATATTTGTGGTAGTCCAGGGAAGATTTAAACGATGAAAATCTATGAAAAAATTGCATGGAAATTCGAAATAGCAAAAATTGTATTTTTCCCATACAAACTGTTCCTACCTGTCAAACATTTTATGCGTGCGTTCCTATTCTGAAAATTCTTTTTCTATGCGTTCAGATTCATAAATTCCCTACAAATATTTTATATGGCAAAACAACGTTTGCTGGGTCAGCTAGTTTTTTATAAATTCAATATCGAAAACTTCAATCGATAGCAATCAATAAAGCGACTCGAGCGATTTTCATGAAATGTAGTATGTGCGTAGATTCGGGGGCGAAAAATCGATCTAGCTAGGTTTCATTTTTAGAAAATGTCCTTTTATCCCTGTTTTCAGGAATGAAAAATATCATTCGAATATGACGGTAAATTTCGCCGAAAAAATATATTATAATACCTCGGTCGGTAATCGGGCGGCACACACATTTTTCTATACCAGATCATTGCTTTCTTTATTTTTTTTATTTCCAAAATACACAATTTACCAAAAAAAAAAAAAACCGGGCAAAGCTCGGTCTTCCAGGTACTGTTGTATTAAACTTGAATTGCGTATGAACATTTTTGATTCGGCAGCATTATTTCGCGTCAAATCACCAATGTTTACGATCCAGGTTAAAGAATGAACGTTATGTTCACACCAACAACTTATCGATAACATTTTGTTATAGTCTTTAGGAATGTGTGTATGATTTAATGACTGATTTATTAACTCTGATAACTATTTGTCATACGATATAATATTTAACTGCGTCATTAATTTTAAAACCTTAATAGTTGATGGGTGATTAAAAAGAAGTTGGCGATTTTGGGTCTCAAGTTAACAATAACAGTCAAGAATTCTCGATTGTTGTTTAAAAACATGTATGGATATAACCGGTCAATCGATTGAATTCGTCATTATCATATTACCAATAAGCGAGCTAAAAATAGAAACTTCTCCGTACCACTTTTAAAGTGTAGAGATAATGACTAGTGTCAAATGTGTAGTCTCGCCATCTCTCCTTCGAATTATCGTTGTAAAACGATATTTGAAATTGTTTCTCTGATGTAAAGGAGATAACAATAGACGCGCCAAGCATTGTTTAAAATGCGAAAAAACAAAGTAGATAAAATAATTATGTTGACATTTTTGTTTATAAATCCGGAATATGTGGGTTCGATTCCCACAGCGCCCAAAGACCTTTCATTTCTACAACTTTTAATGATTCGTCTTGTGCAGAGATTAGCACTTTAAAAAAAATTTCAATATTTATTTTTTATCCGATTGCTTTCCTTGAAATGTAAAACTTATGGTACGTTAAAATAGTTTATCAATTTTACTAGCTGCTGCCCGCGACAGTCAGACAGAAAGACAGATTACATAAAATATGTATATAAATTATAGCCCTTGTCTTATTCTCATGTATAAGCTATATTATTGTAAAGTTTCATTAAAATCCATTCAGTAGTATTTGCGTGATAGAGTAACAAATATCCATCCATACACACAAACTTTCGCGTCTATAATATTATTATATATTATAAGTAAGGATGGACACTTTCTATACATTGAAATAGCTAGCACTAGTATTCACCTTTACACCATACCATAATACCATTTAAGTCATAGTACATTGAAGGTTTCTATTATTGTATTACTAAATTTATATTATTTTTAAATATTTTATGTTTCGTTTTTACTCTTCTGATATCATTAACATATGATCTTAATATTCTTATGTATACACAGAATGGGTTTCAGAAACTCGACATATTTATTTGTAAACATTATGGCTCACGTCTAAACTACAACTATCAAGTACTTGGTGTTGTACGGTGCGAAACAAAAGTTTTTTGTCCCCATTCACGGCTACACACAGTGGCTAAACTACAGTGGATGTTAAAACTTTTCTGTCCGTTTGTTTGTGTTCCGCCCAAGTTTTCTTCGCCTGGTGGGACCATTGTTTTCCGTCCAAACAGACACGCGTTACCTACAGTGTGGACTGGAGGCATATTCAAGATACTCGTATATACATATGTTGAAATAAACACATGCCTTTCTCTATTCATCATTTGGAAAGTGTTCCGTGTGTCTTCTTCTTTGTTAGAGGATTTTTTCGCTCTTAAACTTGATCGATTGTGATTCGAGTCGAGGTTCGAATCTCTATCTGAGGTGTTCTTGGATTTTGATGTTTAGGAATAAGACATTAATCAATGCCGAAGACGGTTCGGTTCCCACAGCGGCGACAGTCTTTTCGTACTTTTTCTACAAATTTTAATGTAAGATTGAACATTAGGTGCAGAGATCAGCACTATAAAAATTTTTAATTTTTAAATTTCTAATTTATGTACTGTGTTACGAACTCAGCTCGCCCCAGCCAGCCTGTATTTTAAACAGTTGATACTTAAAGACAGATCTTAAGTATCAAAACTGTTTAAAATCCATAAAGTCCTAAGAAACATACACTAAAGGCCAAAGATTCAAAAGGAGAAGAAAATTAACACTTATAACTCGTTCCGTTAACGTTATACATTTGGTTTCTTCAATCAAATCAGTTATCGGAAATTCTGTTGAAAGCGAAAGCACGGCGCATATTACTCGCAACTTGTTATTCCTGTCGCGTGTGCAATGTCGTTACTACTGATCTTGGCCGATTGTAGCAAAAGATGTCTTATGCGGACGCGATAAAAACCATATTGGCCCGGCTGTGCATGATCGATTTCGTGACGTCATTACAGAGTAATACGTAAAAATCACGGCAGCTTCAGTGTAGAAACGAAATGCTTTGTTTTTTTATGTTTAATGCAATAAAGAAAGCAAATAGATGGATTTTCGCGCGTTTGGATGCGATTTTCGCGTCATAACGTCGTCAGCCCTTTAACTTGGTTGTTTAAATCAACTGTGAGTGGTACCCATCCGGAAGACACAGTTTGGAATATCGAATGTGAAGGTTTCAAAAATTTGTCGTTTTTTACAAAAAGCCGTCACCGTATTATCTTCTGTTTGGTTAGTTTTTAGTAAAAACATTTCACCGTAGACGCACTTAGCACATTTTATGTAGTGTTTCATTGTAATATATATAATTTTTTACTGGCGACCCGCCCCGGCTTCGCACGGGTGCATTTCTGAATGTTTGTTTTCGATATCATATTAGAAACATCTAAAATTATCAGTGTTTCTCTACTATATTATACATGAATTATACATAAAAACCTTCCTCTTGAATCACTCTTAAAGAACCGTATCTAGTAAAGTACCGCATGAAAATCCGTTAGGTAGCTTTAAAGATAATAAGCATATATAGGGACGGACAGATAGCGGGACGACTTTGTTTTATATTATGTAGTGATGCCATTTATTTATATTATTTTATTATTTATTACGTATAAATGTTAAATGTGATTTTACATATTATACATATATATCTAACATTACATATTTTATATGTATATTCACCGTTTTTATTAAATAGCTGACATGTTTGGATTTATTTAATCTCAATTTAATGTTTTGTTTCAGGTTGAACGAAAATGGCTCGAAGGTGGCATTTTTTAAATGTTCTGTGCTCATTAATACTTGTTAATAGGTGAGTGAACATAAAGTAAAAGTAAAATATACTTTATTCTATACAAAGGGACATACAGTGTTTATAATTAAAAGACACATAGGTATAGCAGGCGGGCTTATCGTTTAAGCAGCGATCTCTTCCAGGCAACCTAATCAGGAGGAATTCATTAAAACCTTCTCCTTTTTTGAAGTCGTTTAAAAAGAAGAAAACGGCAGGGTTGTACTAAATAAATAATATATAAACACATCGATTTTTATTAATTCCGTTTAATTCCGTAATAGTTCCTGTTCTATTTAATTGTTATTTTTTATGTGAGAAGGTAGCATGCGAATTGGTGGTTCACCTTATGCTAAGTGATAACCGCCGCCCATGGACATTTGCAACACCCGCAGGGTTTCAGATGCTTTGTCACCTTTAAATAAAGTGGGCCCGGTTACCTCACTTACCAGTCGTAACGCAGAAGTGTAACACTTCCATTTCACGCCGGTCTTCTGTGAGGTCGTGGTACTTCCCTGGATCAACCTGCCCATTCGTGCAACAGGGACATGATTTGACATGAGCTTGACATATTTAACGTCCAATGCAATATTAAAAAGTTTATTTATTCTAAGTCATGAAATGTGTTGATATTTAGCAACTTATTTTACTTTATTTTTTTTATAATTTATAATTTTTATCGTTTTGATTATTTTTTTTTAGTTACTAACTGAATTCATTGCTATTATTTTTTTCGTAGATTTTTTTATATGTGTATTAAATTATTTTTAAGTTTAAATTTTCTATTTCACATAATTTGAATACTTGTATACCTACATGTTGAGAGCATTATTTATGTGTACAAGAGCCGGGATAGCTCAGTGTCCGGGCGCTCGCCTTTAATTCAATATACCCGAGCAATCTGAGTTCGATCCCCGGTGCCGGCACCAATGAAGTTTTTAACTTTAAGTGCTGACTTATCACGTGCTCCGCGGTGAAGGAAAACATCGTGAGAAAACCTGCATATTTTCGAAATAATAACAAAAAAATGTATTTCGAAAATATGTGAAGTCCGCCAATCCGCAGTGGGGCCGCGTGGTGGACTATGCCCTGATACCCTCTGTTTAGAGGAGGCCTTTGCCCAGCAGTGGGACATGTATAGGCTGTTACTTTACTTTTTTACATGATGTGTTCGCTTATGGTGGAATATTCACTTATGTAATATATATTTTTTTAACCTTGTATCTATAGAAAATGTTCAAGTCTAATGTTCTGTTTGCGATCCGAAATAAATAAAAAAAAACAGTGAAGACTGTTGCGTGGCCCTACCACAGTTAGTTTTGTTGTTTTAGGACTAGTGTACCATTTTCGCTATGACCATGAGATAGATAAACCGTTTTCAACCGACTCCAAAAAAAGGGAAGGCTCTCAATTCGATTGTATGTTTTTTTATATTTATTACCTCAGAACTCCGTCATTTACGAGCCGATTTTAAAGATCCCTTTGTATTTGGTTTGGTTCAGCTCATTGGACCTTGGATTTCGGAGGTACATCAGGGAGCTCCTCAAAACCAAATAATTTTTATACGTCGCGCGCGCGAACCGACACCAGCATGATGAAGTTGATTCCAAAGCGACGAACTTCACGGTATTACCATGGCAGCTAATAACAACTTTTTGACATTTACTTATAATTCCAAGTTATTTAACTAAACCGTCACATATCGATTAGTTACATATTATTTAATGTATTTTTCACTAACAAAGAGTACTGGCACAGGGGACAAAATTTTTAGTTATTTTTCTTTTGTTACACTAAGGAAGTATAACTTTTTACGTGCGTATATAAGTACACACATATTTTTTTAATAAAAATATACTTGTACCTATTACGATCGGAGACCAGAATTTTCAACGTCATCGATCCCCGATTCGCGGCCGTTGACATTGACAATCGGCGTTAATGACTGTTATAATGCATGTGTTGATCCGCACATATGATGCTGACGTTAATGATCGATTCATCAATCACATTCATTAGTCTTTAACGAAAATACGGACGTATAAAATAACTATAAAAAAAGGCACACTGAGCCGCCGCGACACTGCTCTTAGCTTTTCAAGTAATACAAATAAAAAATCTATTATGGCAAGAAAAAACCGACTTCAAATATCTCACTTACTATACATTTATTATGCGATTTTGAAAAGTTCTTTGATGAAAGTTATATGGGTGGTCCTATCTTCCTCCGGCGCTTAAGTGAACACGTCGCAAAAAATATTTTTAAAATTCGACAATATAAGGTTCGACGGAGTTCGGTTCAAAATAAACAAAGAAACAGACAATCTAATCTACTTTTACATTATAATTAGTATTAGTTAGTTTATTTCTAAATTATACATCGATTTCTAGCGTGAACACTGAAGGAGAGAGGTCCGCTTGGAAATGGGGCTGCGACAACGGGAAATGCGTGAAATCGCTAATTGACGCGCACAGCAGGGAACCAGCGCTAAGTTTGGAGGCGATGTTCTGTTGAAATCGCTAATGCGCAATCCCTGGACATGAAGACCCGGATTGTTATATAGGTTTTTTCCTTCTTAAAAACTGTCAGGAAATAACTCCTGTGTCGCAGAAGGTATCGCAAGCATGAACAGGCTATTTCTAGCGTGAACACTGAAGGAGAGAGGTCCGCTTGGAAATGGGGCTGCGACAACGGGAAATGCGTGAAATCGCTAATTGACGCGCACAGCAGGGAGCCAGCGCTAAGTTTGGAGGCGTGCAAGATGTTCTGCAATGAATACGGTGAGAATACCAAGTTGTTGCTTCACTATTATTTTAAAAATTTGGTTAACGAAGAAGCCAGGTAAGGCATTCCCTGGACATGAAGACCCCGCCAAAAGGTTACTTAGCTGTTTTTTTACTGTTATATTTTTTTACGTAGAATTAATGAGGGATCCTTGTGGCAGAATTACTGCCACTAACGATGTTCAATATCCGAGGTGGGTGGCGTGCTCACATGCGTTATTGGCCCACGCAGCTCCTTTGTAATTTATATCCACAGAGGACTATTACCTTTTTTCTTTATATAAAGAACATTAGGTTATTAGTCAAGCGATTTTTGTTTTGTTTTTTCACATCTGAGATAGACTGTGTTTATTAAATTCATATGCTTCTTTTTATTGTGGTGTATCTGTTACATCGAATGATTAGCGTTCGACGCGTAGAGTAAAACTTATAAAAATAAAAACGCTGTTCATTTGTACCGGTTTTAAATTCCAACTTAGATTATATTAGACTGTGGTAGAGACAACAACGGCCTCTATTATTGTACCAACGCGTTGACTCATCAAGGCCAAGGCTTTTGAGACCAGCGCGAAATTGATACATTCATACCTTTTCCCTCTCGACCGTTTTAGCTTGCCAATATATTTTTTTAAATGTGAGAAACTGCCAAACGCATCACTTAACATCAGTTCCCTTGATGTTAAGTGATGCGGATGCCTTGCCACCTTTAAATTAAGTGGGCCCCGGCTGCCTCACTCACCATACGGAACGAAATAGTGTAACACTTCCACGTCACGCCGGTCTACCGTGAGATCGTGATACTTATCCGGACGGACCTGCCCATTTGTGCAACAGAGAAGACTGTTGCGTGGCCCAACGGCGTAGTGGTATTTTTGGTCCTTTTTACTTTTGTACTTTTATACACGAGTGACAGAGTGTCACCCGGTGTTTAACTTCGATCTTGACTGTGGTACGGACACACAGCAGTCATTGTTGTACGAAGGCAGTCTCGGTAGGTACCAGACTATTCTAGCGCGTAACAATCCCTATACCTCTCTCACTCCCTCCTGACATCTACGAGAATTCGTATTACAACTTTAGGCGCTGGAAAGAAGTTGTCCAGCAACACCTCGTTGAGAAAGCATTGAGATGAAATGAAAATCTTAAAGGATATAAACTGTTCATTATGTATTCTAATTTATCCTCGATGCAGAGGTGACATTGTCTAAAATCATATTGTGTTGTCGTTTTGTGACATATTGTGTGATTAATAACTACATCATAGTACCTCACAGAAGAAAATAGTGTTTTTCTAGTGTCTGGGGGTTTATAAATGTATAACATCATGTATTTAATTACAAAAGAAAAATATGTTTAAGTACGCTTATCTAGTCTAGTACTAATTGTAAAAACGCGGTTTAGTTTGGAACTAGATAAAGTTGTGTAAAAATGTGTCCTTTTTATTTATTTATAAAAATAACTTGTGTGGGTAGTAAAGCTCTTTTGTCTTTGCAGGCCTACTATGGCCGCGGCCCACTGGCGAAGCACAACTTGGAAATTTCCTCTCGAAGATCAATTTGAACAACATAGATTTGCAGATACCAAACAAAGGTAGAACTGACTCGCTTATGGATGAGGCTGGCCAGGTAAGAAACGTTTTGCTCTTCATTTATAACGGTTTTTAGAGGCACATTTGGCGTAGTAGCTGAGCATATCTGCCGCGGGTTCAAATCCCGCTCGGAACAGGTATTTGTATGGTCTACAATTGTTTCGGGACTGGATGTTTTTGCATGTGTAATTTATATCTGTAAATGAACGACGACTTTGATTTTTCAGCTATAAAATCCGTAAAACAGTTTTATTTAACATACACTGTTGTAATGGTGTGAATACAAGAAAAGTTTATATATTATCAATTGAAAGTAGTGAAATCGTAACACTTTTTAATAGATAGTTAACAACGCATCGCTTCAACCGGTGGGTAAACGTGAACCGGACATCCCTTTTATGTCCTGTATGTCAGGATTCTGTAACATCTATCCAGACAATACCGTATGTCCCGATATATTTATTTATTTATTTTATTACTTTTTTCATTACACATGAATAACTAAAGCGACGTTTGAGTTATTAATGCCCGGTTTCTGAAACACTGATCATCGTAGATGTCAACTAATCAGCTGTCAAATGGCTTATCAAATTTAATTTTAGTTACCGAAAGTATGGTTAAACTCTTTGAATTGACAAGAATGAGTTTCTTAACGATCGGAGTGATCAATTCACAGAGTTTAACCATCCTTTTGGCAACTGATTACTTGACATCTACGATGATCAGTGTTTCAGAAACCGGGCGTAAGTCGCTTGCGTTTTCGTTACCATTTTGACGTGTATCTCTTTCCCTCTTAGAGGTTCAGACAGATTGTGTCCTTGTCGGTGCCCAACGGGCTGAAGGCGAAGGCGAGCGGCAAAGCGCTGACCGTCTACCTGGTCAACGAGAATCCTGACGTAAGAGGTGAGCAGTAGAGCACATTTTTCAATGTCAATTAGCTTACAGTAATGTATCGTCGGAACAGTCAATGTCGTTTCTCTACTAATTAATAAAGCGGTTTAATTGTCTTTCGTTCCATACACATTATTCGTTAAAATTAAATTCAATCAAAAGTATGTTTTATGATTTTGATAAGATAAAAATTATAACATTTGACTGTAATTTCTCCCAATGACAGCTTTGTCGTCGTACATCGGGCTTAGACGGAAAACAGTAATTTATACTCTCAAATATATCAAGTAAGCAAAAGCTCCCTATTCTTGAATTCCAACCGCGGATGAATATTCGAAGTCCTAGCTATTATATAACCTTAACACCATTGTAGTCATGTGGCCTAGATGCTAAGACGCCGTCTCGATATCAGCTCTTATATAACTAAGTACCATCACTACTGGTCGTGATAGCCTTGTGGTGGCCTAAGCCCCAATACCTAAGTACAGAGGAGGCCTTTGCCTAGCAGTCAGATCCGCTGTGGTGTCGCGTGGTGGACTTCGCCCCAATACCCTCTACACAGGTCTTTAACCAGCTGTGGCTAATATATAGGGTGTAACTTCACTATTGGAGCAACTATCACTAAACTGAGTAGAGAAGAAACCTCCGTAACTCATACTTATCGTTGAACTTCGGAGACAAGAGTCCTTCGCAACTCATACTCTATCTATCGTCGCCCCGAAGAGTTCTCGCTGGACATGGACGAGAGCTACACGCTGAGCGTCTCCCCGTCCTCCGCCGACCGGCTGAACGCCACCATCGTGGCGAGCACCTACTTCGGCCTCAGGCACGGCTTGGAGACGCTCTCGCAGCTGATAGTCTACGACGACATCCGGGACCACCTCTTGGTAAGGCCAAGCCACTTTGCCCGGTTCCTGTATTCAACTAACAGCCGCCAGTTACATACCTTAGCACTACCAGTTCGTTTTGTTAATATTGGAACCGGGCGTACACGCCCCTTATCTACAAGTCGTTATGAAAGTTACGAAGCTATGTAACTAACGGCCGCTCGTTGAATATAGGAATCGGGCATTAGTTGCGAAGTTGTCTAGGCGTTCGCTTCGCGGGTTCGGCTCTCGCGAGACGGCTGTTTGTTTAACGGATAGTTGTTCCGGATGTGGGTGTTTGTCTGCGTGAGATTAACGTGAGACGCAATTTTTTAAAATACCAAAACAATTGCTTTCGACACAAAGCTGGCCGCAAATGAGATGGGAGTCCCCCCCCCCCCCCCCCCCCCCCCCTATTATTATTCTTCCGCTAGAGTCTGGTCAATATAAAATGAGACGGAATAAACACATTAATCACATCAGTACCTCTCTTGTGGTATTGATTTGTGTTGATCGATACTAGTAGCACGCAGCATCTTACAAAGCCTCTTTTCTAGTCAGTGTGGTAACTCTCTTATAGGATGCCAAGTCATGTGCAAGTGTTGGTGTTTTTCATGTCAAGGGTGGTGTAGAAATATTGAGTGAGAAAAGACGAGCGGACGGTTGAATCCTATCTTCTCCCTTTCTTTTAGTGTGAAAAGTTGACCACTGATTAGGCGGTTCATCTGAGTCCGGATGTCAAGTGACCGCTGCCCATATACACCATATACAACTACAATGTCCGACAGATTGGAGACGCATTGTCAATCATTACAATAGCGGACCCCGCTTTTCTCATGTACCAAACGGAACGTAAACGTATAAAACTTCCACCTCACGCTTCTTCTGTGAGGCCTTGATATTTCACCCGACGAGGCTGCCCAGTCGTGGCCCTACCACAGATACAAAAAAAAACATTCTTTTAGCCTCATTAGAAGTCTAGTGGGTATAATACAATTATGTGAAAACGTCTTCATGCTTACGTAATGGGAATGATGTCAGCATTTCTCATGCATTTTACCGAGTACATAATTATGCCAATGTCACAATGTACGAGTCACCCGATATTTTTTTTTGAAAAACATCATACAATTGATGGGGGAAAAAACTAAAATTACTTTTAACCTTCTTTATGTAAACAACACCAGTCTGATTTAAAATAATAAGCTTGATATCCGCTAAAAGTTGATATCCATAATGTACATACAACATTATCCAATAATATCATTGTAACGAAAATATAATATTTAATCGATATTTTAGCAACTTGATGGTCATGGACATGACACCAGGCATGAAAATGGAAGAACTATATCGCTATATTAAATTATACCAAAATTCGGAGCTTCACACAGAACGTACAGACATCGAAAAAGCGTTCCATTTAGGATTAAAAATTTTGGCCTATACCTAATCGATTTTTATGGCAAATATAAAACAGTTTTTAATATATTTTTTTTAACAATTATTAAGAACATAACACTTTCTTGTATTTACGCGATTACACATTACTAAATGAATCTATGTTTATTATGGTATTAAAACCAATATAAACGCGATATATCCGTTAATTATTAAAAACGGTTGATTTAAAATGACATTATAATATAACTAAAATAAGGTTAAGTTTCACATGCCGACTATGTTTAAGGACGTATAACTTTTGGATATTGTATCAAAAACTATCGAGGGACGAACTGAGGCAGACCGGTTAGAGATCATTGACTCTTCTATTTGTTCGCTTTGCATAAGCAACAAAATCCCGTATGCAAATTGGTCGCTGTGACATTTGATTGTGATTGAGAGAAAAAAAAAATAAGTTTAGGCGGGAAAATAAATCGCGTTTGACGGTTCTGTGACCGAGAAACAGGATATATGTATATTATTGGTTGCCGTTGAGTATTATTTATTTAAAATCTTTTGTTAAATGAACATATTTTTACGTAGTATATTTTCGCATTTAATTCCCGATGTTCCAAATACCGTGCATGATTGATTGTAGTTTTAACCTGTGCACCGCAGTGTCAAAGTAATAGGCTAAGGTATAAACGATATAAAGTATCGAAACGTCGGAAATTTTAATATAAATTAATCGTGGAAAAATTCTTAAAACGGTCTTCATTTAATAATGTGTACTGTTCGCATAAATAAAAGTAAAATGCCTATTATGTTATTTTTATTACACACAATAGTCCCCACGCGCCGTATACTAAATGTGTAGATACTTAGATAGTAAAATCCCATCAACCATTTACGATATGATATGAATATTATATCAAGTATCAGTTTTTCTCCGTACAAACATGTAAGATAGATTTATGAACTCAAGAAAAAACAATGAGCAATTCTTCGTACCTACGCATTAATTTTTTTATATTGATTAGTAAGCCACAAAATGGAATTATTTTTTTCTGAAATTCTTGAAAATAATTTCATAGATGCTTTACATAAAGTTGCCGATTAAAAATCCAATGACTTTTTCTTACTTGCAATGACGTTAAGTAATAAAGCTTATGATGTTAAGTAGACAAGCTGTTGTTATGTTCAGCGAGAGGTTTATCAAACCTTGGCTAACTCTAAACAAACCCTAGTTTCGTAACAACAATAAACTGATAACAAATGAACATAATAATTTTGAACAAAAAAAAAACCGACTTCCAACAGGAAACTAATAAAAACATTGTCAACACCTATAAATATAAAATTTGAGGATTGCCCTCGATTTCCCTGGGATGCCATTATCAAATCCGGGTTTTCTTATCATGGTACCACCCTTGGGATATCTTCTTTACAATAAAGAAAGAATCATCAAAATCAGTTCTTAAATGACGAAGTTATCCGCGAACACACATAAAAAAAAACATATGTACGGTCGAATTGAGAAACCTCCTTTTTTTGAAGTCGGTTAAAAATTATGACTAAATCAAACGTGGTAAACTGTATCGAATATTTTTTTTTCTTTTAATTGTATCGATCCTACGAAAACAAGCTTTATTTTTATTAGTTTTACTGGTTTCTTGGTAGAAAAAAAATAAAGTAACAGTCTAAATACATTCCACTACTGGGCAAAGACCTCCGTATTCTGATGGAATTCGGGCAAAATCCACCAAACGAGCCCTGCGGAAGGTAGAGGATATGTTAGAATATTTTTTTATTATTATCACGCAATTATGTACGATGTTTTCCTTCACCGTTGAGCAAGTGATGAGTCAGCATTAAAACCTATATTGTATTTTTTTTGTAAATAATTAAAAATATTTGTCGGCCTGGAATTGTGCATTTTGCGTGTACCGGTTATTTTAAACTAAAATAACGGGCGCAGTAAGCCGCAATGTATACATTATAAGCGTACGCTTTGTGCGCAGTTTTTATGCCTAGTTAGCCTGATGAAGCTTTACACAGTCTCTAGAGCAACCTTTTTAATCAATGGGCCAATTTAAATTTCAAATTTTTTGTCGGGCCGCACATAATAATTTATGAAACTTTATTTATAATAAATATTAGAATAAAAAAATATAAAATTAAAAAAGTAAAGATTTCATATACAAATTTTAATGCAAGGTAAAAACAAACAAGAAAAGAAAAGTACAGAGAAAAATATTTCTTGTCAGTATCTACTACTATTTTATTATAATTAATTTTATAACAATATATTGATGGGAGAAATTCGATAAAATAAATTCAATTTTAGAAATGCTTGGCGGGCCGCTGAAACATGTTTAAGGGGCCGCGGGCCGCGCGTTGCTCATCCTTGCTCTAGAGTAAACATCATCCAATTCTGAATTGATTATAGATGATAAATTAATACAAAGAACAACACCTAACAATGAAAAAAAAAACGAATTTAAAAGAAAGTGTGTACTAGTGACTTCAGTACCTACTTTCTTTTTGTAAACACAGAGAATTGTTAAAAATATCAATGCAATCAGCTCGATCAGAAAGTGTATTATGCTCATTGTATATTCTCATAACGGGTGAATTAACGTCTAGCGTCATCTACATTTAAAAATAAGGAACCTAATTTAGTACAGATAAAAAATCTAGAAATTTTTACAGGTCGTTAGGGACGTGAACATCAGCGATAAGCCGGTATACCCATACCGTGGTATACTCCTCGACACCGCAAGAAACTACATCACCGTCGATGCGATAAAGTCTACTATTGGTAATTATTTTTTAACTAAAGAAATGCAGTATAAATAATTAAATTTACTTATATTATAACCGTGAAAGTTTGTATGTATGGATGTTTTACACTTTCACGCAAAAACTACTGAATGGAAAAATACAATTATATTATTGTATTTGTCCATTCAGTTGTTTATTTAGTAAGCTATTAAGCTTATACATCAGAATAACATATAAGCTATAATTTATAAACATACAAGGGTCTCTCAAAATAACTGTCTGTTACGCCTTCACGACTTAGCCGCAGAACCAATTTTGATGAATTTCGGTATAAAGATAGATGGGACCTTGGAGAAGTAAATAATCCCGTGCAGAACGGAGTCGCGGGCACCGGCTTGTTAATAACAATGTATTATAATGATAATTTGGTCAGATGTTCTCGAGTCCATCACGTCCGGACACACAGAGTTATTCTGCTGTCTTAATCGTTTTTGCAACAAATGAAAGGTTATGATTTCTTTGATTTTCAGTTGAGATATTTTAATCTATCTGATTAAGGCTTAATTGTTGTCTGGGGGCATCGGAATAACATATGTTCATATTTATAATATATTACTTTTATTGATTATTTCACATTAGAACTTAATTTAGAAATGTGAAGCGCAAAAAGTATACGACGACAACTTAGATACTTGATCTAAATTTTAAACTTTTAAAAGTTGTAAGCCTTTAAAGACGTAATAACATGATGACCCCAATAATACGATATACGATACGATAATAGACACACAATAATAAGGTTACTTTAAAGACAAGCATCATACCAATCAGACACGTTAAGAAAATAAGGCAATAAAAAAAGAAAACAAAAGATCTAAGGATAATACCATTAACCACATAAACATTAAAGGTTGAGGTCTAATTAGAACTTGTATTTCGAGACTTCGTTACGATATTAATCTGGAAACTTCGTTGTTTTTCCAAAGCTAATCAGAGAATATTTTATGTCCACAAAGCCAGACAAAGTCACTTCGAGTTCGGGGGCGTATTTAGTATGCACAATAAAAGTGTAATGAAATTAAACAGAAAATTAAAGCGCATCTCGTGTATGCAAACAATGTTTTTTTTTAAATTGATTGATATACAGGGATAAGTAAACATACGTGTGAAAAGTTTCGCTTTTATTCCAATACTAGCGACCCGCCCCGACTTCGCAAGCGTGCAATGTATTATACATAAACCTTTCTCGTGAATCACTCTATCTAGTAAAAAAAAAAACCGCATCAAGATCCGTTGCGTAGTTTTAAAGATCTAAGCATACATAGGGACAGACAGACAGCGGGACCACTTTGTTTTATACTATGTAGTGATGAAACAATAAGATACGTACTGTTTATGTAAATGATATGCGTGGTTGTTTTGACTGGCTTGTTCTTTTTATTTTAATAGAGATTTTTATTTTTTACACAAACTATGCCACCATCATTGTGGCAATAATTTGAATGAAATGTCACGATTAGATAGGCGTAAGACCATAAGTTGTTGTCTTCTCTGTTGCATGAATGGACAGGTCCGTCCACACTGGACGGACCTGTCCATTCTGGACAATCTTCCATCTGTCCATCTGGACATCTGGGTGGAAATGTTATACTTCTGCGTTTCGTCTGGTGAGTGAGGTGCCGGGGCCCGCTCTCTTAAAAGGTGCCAACGCATCTGCAACATTACGGGTGTGGTAATTGACCATGAGCGGCGGTTATCACTTAACATCCGCAGAACTGCCAGCTCGTTTGCCACTTTTTAACATTTGAAACGCGATAAAATCGTTAACCTGGTCTTATTCGTCGTTGTTTGTAGTGACCCTACCTCTTGCGCCAGAGGGTGCGGGTTCGATACCCACTACTAGAAAAATATCGTTAGATGGACATAGTGTTTTTCCAGTGTCTGGGTGTTTATCACTACGTACTATAAAACAAAGTCGTCCCGCTGTCTGTCTGTCCCTATGTATGCTTAGACCTTTAAAACAACGCAACGGATCTTAATGCGGTTTTTTTTACTAGATAGAGTGATTCAAGAGGAAGGTTTATATGTATAATACATTGTACTCATGCGAAACCAGGGCGGGTCGCTAGTATACCTATAACATGTATTTATTTACAAAAGAAAATTATAGTTTAAGTATGTCAGTTATCTGGTACCCATAGTAAAAGCTTTGCTTGGTTTGGGACAAAACGGGTTTGTTAAAACGACTTGACGATCTCGTCCCCCTAGACGCGATGGCGGCCGTTAAGCTCAACACGTTCCACTGGCACATCACCGATAGCCAGAGCTTCCCCTTCGTATCCGAGCGGGAGCCGCGCCTAAGCAAGCTCGGCGCCTACACTCCAAACAAGGTGTGCCACTTAAAATGTCCAAACGAATCGCCGAATCATTCGCAATCTATTCAAATATAAAATAAAATAATACAATATAAAATTCGCAAAATACCCGAGCAAATCGAGTTCACACATCCCGCTGCCAGCACGTGAGAAGTTCTGACAAGTGAGCATTTGTCACGTGCTAAGCGGCGAAGGAAAACATCCTGAGAAAAAATACATCTTTTATAACAATACGTGAGGAAACCTGTATATCTTCGAAATAATAACAAAAAAAATATTTCGAAGGTATGTGAAGTCCGCCAATCTTCAGTGCAGAGAAGGCCTTTGCCCAGCAGTGGGATATGTATGACAGGTTGTTAGTTTTGTAAAAGCCGATCATACATATTTTTGTTTCTTACTATGGTAGGCCCTCGCAACAGTCCTCGCCGTTGCATGAATAGGCAGGTCCGGGGAGGGATCATGACGTCACAGAAGACCGGCATCAAGTTTCGTCTGGTGAGTGAGGTAGCCGGGGCCCACTTTATTGAAAGGTGGCAACGCCTCTACAATCCTACATGTTCTGTAATTATCCATGGTCGGAGGTTATCACTTAACATCAGGTGAACCGCGAGCTCGCTTGCCAGGTCTTATCTACTTTGTTTATATTGCGTTCTTAGAAAAGGCAAAGCTTTAAGGCCGCAACCGAACATATCGCATAGCAAAGGGAAAGACCGTTATGGTCAGAGGACGTGGTACTTTGCCAGTGCACATTTGAGCTTCGACCGGTGGCTGTATCGATTCGGAATTGCAGGTCTACACGAAGGAAATAATCAAGGAAGTGGTGAACTACGGCCTGGTGAGGGGGGTGCGAGTGTTGCCAGAGTTCGACGCACCGGCCCACGTGGGCGAGGGTTGGCAAGACACCAATCTGACAGTCTGCTTTAAGGTAAACCTTTATTTTGCGGGAGATGGCGCTAATTGATACGGCGAATATTTGAGATTCTTTTCAAGATAAATGACATCCAACCATTGAACATATACTTTTGGGTACTTGTATAAATTGTAAGAGATCATAAATGCACAAGGTTAAATGGAGATTTTGATACATTCCGTGAGTTCGGGGGCCCAACCTCGATTCAAATCATGAATATCGAAGATCTTTGGTTATTTAAAACAGGCTAAACACTATTGCACTGCTATTATTTTATGCCGCGCATTCGCCTGGCCTTTTATTAATAGTATACTATTGTGCTATTGAAAATATCTCAATTGATATATCCAGCGTAAACTTATCTCCTCCGAAAGGTTATTTGACTACGCGCAGTCGACGTGTAGAGTAGTGAACAAAAACATTTTCGTGGAAATTAATATCTAGAATATTATCAATATTTGGTTTTTTTGTTTCTTCCAAAAAATTGGTTGTGTCGGGTTAAATTTATCGAAGAAAAATGCGATGCGCCTCTGAATTTCTACGGAGTCAATGCGCAGTTTACGTGTAAAGAGGGGCCGAATGTGGCGTTCGGAGAGTAGCCCTCTCACTCGCGCCGCAGCCTAAATCGCGTTCCGTCTCGCTCACACCGCTGTAGCGAGTACAGTCGCGAGTGAAGTAGCAGCGTTACTCACGACATATTTTTATAAATATCGATATATTTTGTCACTTTGACATCCCAAGTTCATATCAATGGTCGTTGGCCATTCCAGGCTGAACCGTGGGCCTCTTACTGCGTGGAGCCCCCCTGCGGCCAACTTAACCCGGCCAGGGAGGAGCTCTACGACCGGCTGGAGCACATTTACATGGATATGGCAGGTGAGGCAAGAACCCCCCGTCAACTATAGGGATCAGCAAAGCTTATTATCACATTCCACGGTCTTCATGGAGTGCATGCCTACATGCGCATGTAAACGTGTGCACATTTACATGCGCATGTGGGCATGCACGCCAGTTTCGTGGTAACTTTTACGCTGACCACATGATACGGCTCACACTTGGCTTTTATGTGTACAGTTGACAAGCGACAAGGGTTCATCTGAGGTTAATCGATTACCGCTGCCCTAAATACAAGTTGGTAACGCATCAGGCTAGCACCTCACTCCAGACTAAACGAGAAAGTATAATACTTCCAGTTCTTCCAGTACTTCTCAGTGACGATTACGACAATTAAGAAAAAAATCACTAGAGCAACATAAAACAGACATAATTAAAACAGTGAATTTAATAGATAAATGGTTAAATAAAAATAATCTACACATTAATTTAAGTAAGACACATATTATTAATTTTAATAACTTAAATATTAAATATAATGGACAATTACTGCGGAATGCTAATAATACAACATTTCTAGGTTTAGTTATAGACTCTAATCTAAATTGGAAGGAACATATACATTAAGTGTGTAACAAAATCAACAGATTTGTATACGCGTTACATAAATTAGCAAAAATATCAAACATAAATACGGCGTATTTTGCATATATAGAATCTATTATCTGATACGGACTTATAATTTGGGGTAATGGCACAGAATGTCAAAAAGTATTTCTAGCTCAAAAGCGCTGTATTAGAGCTCTTAGTAACATTTCATCATATATATCATGCAGGACTTATTTTATGACCTTAAATATACTTCCTTTTCCTTGTCTCTATATATTTGAGGTTTGCAAATTTGTAAAACAAAACCAGAATATGTTTTTACAAGCTAAAGATGTGACAAAAATAAAATTACGGAACCAAGATAAATTTGTACTAGATACAATTCCTAAAAGTAAGCGCTTTCAAAAAAATAGCTATGCAATGTGCAATACTATTTATAACAAGATACCCTCACATATAAAACAATTACCATATAATATGTTTAAAATTTCGTTACGACGATGGCTACTAGAGAAACTATTTTACACAATAAATGAGTTTTTAAATTGTAATACCTAATTAATGTTGTTAATATTATTTCATATATTATTTTTTTGTTTAAAATCGATGCATTAATTAATTAATATATCTATTAAAATTGTAGGACGATTTTAGTTACATGTAAAAAAAAAAATTAGACAACTGTATTATAAAAATATATCTTCTGGACATTTGCATGCTGTTTAAAACAGCTTAATAGCTTAGGTTGACATTTGTGACAACAACAAGATAACAAGACCAAAATTTTTTCTGTACTACCTATTTATCAGCAAATAAAGAAACTTAAACTAAACTTCCATTTCAAGTTGGTCTTCTTTGAGGTCAATTCATTTGTTTGTTAACAATCTCCGGTACGAAATAAATCGTCCGTCCATTTGCTTCCAGACGCCTTCCGGCCGGACATGTTCCACATGGGCGGGGACGAGGTCAGCGAGAGGTGCTGGAACAGCTCCGAGGAGATCAGGCAGTTCATGGTGCAGAACAGGTGGGAGCTGGACAAGGCGAGCTACCTCAAGCTGTGGAACTACTTCCAGACCAAGGCCCAGGACAGGGCTTACAAGGTACTGTAGCCCAATTTTCAAAAGGTTGTCAACGCATCTGTAACCCTCGAGTGTAGCAGATGTCCATGGGCGGCGGTATTCACTTAACATCAGGTGAACCGTCTGCTCGTTTGACAACTTTTCGCATAAAAAAAAAAAAAAAACTGTGTTTAGTGCGGATCGGGTTGGGTGACAAGTCCTAGAAGATCTCTTGTAGTCTTCCATTTGAAAACATATCCATAGGATGACATTGTCCTGTGTTGTGAGGACGTTTTACGCATATAAATTATTTATTGTTCGTAAAAAAATATTTGCGCTAATATTTTTTGTCGGTATCTGTACTTATCTGTGGTCTTGGACAGATCGAGGTCATCGATGCGAACATTCTTATTTATAATGCACATGTAGATTTTTTGTGTCTGTTACAAATTTTACGTGATTATTATGAAATTGACAATTTTAAGGACAACTTGTCATTGGCAGAACTATGATAACTCACAGAGCAGGCCATCAATAAAAAGGGAAAGAAGAAATGCACATGTAGTACATTTTGTCTCGAGACATTCTCTTTTTTTCTTTCTTGGTTATTTTAATCCTCCTGTATTCTTCTGCCAAGTAATTAATTATTTAAATGTAACAACCTACAATTGAGCCGTCATAGCTCAGTATCCGGGCGCTCGCCTTTAATTCAATATACTCGAGCAACCTGAGTTCGATCCCCGGTGCCGGCACCAATTGGCGTCAATTTTAAGTGCTGAATTATCACGTAATCAGCGGTGAAGGAAAACATCGTGAGGAAACCTGCATATTTTCGAAATAATAACAAAAAATATATATATTTCGAAAATATGTGAAGTCCGCCAATCCGCAGTGGGGCCGCGTGGTGGACTATGCCCTGATACCCTCTGTATAGAGGAGACCTTTGCCCAGCTGTGGGACATGTATAGGCTGTTACTTTACTTTACTTTACAACCTACAATTAAAGGAATTACTGTTCTGTTAATTTCGCTGATACAATATAAATAAATAAAATTGAAGCCTCCCCTGTTTGATCCACAACCAACCGACAATTCCTTTCGAGATAGCCCCTTCATTAGTTCTTATGATTTTTTTATAATTCACAATAACACAAAAGATAATTTAACAACAGTTAAGAATTAGACCGTTTTTCTTAATGTGAGAAGGTGGCAAACGAGCTAGTGGGTCACCTGATGTTAAGTGTCAACCGCCGCCCATGGACATTTGCAACACCCGTAGGGTTGCAGATGCGTTGCCACCTTTTGATAAAGTGGGCCCCGGCTACCTCGCTCACCAGACGAAACGCGAAAGTATTTGTCATACTTCCACTTTACGCTGGTCTTCTGTGAGGTCGTGGTACTTACCCGGACGGGCCTGCCCATTCGTGCAACAGCCGAAGACTGTTGCGTGGCCCTACCACAGTTACACACAAGAACCCTCACGAATAGAGACCCATCCTTTCCTTCTCTTCTCCGTTGTCTTCTTTACTTTCGACGACCCGAATGGCGTAGTGGGTACTGTACCTGCCTCCTGCGCCAGAGGGTGTGGGTTCGATCCCCACTACTGGAAAAATATTGTGTGATGAACATGGTGTTTTTCTAGTGTCTGGGTGTTAATATATGTATAATATGTATTTATTTACAAAAGAAAAGTATGATAAAGTATGTTTATCAGTTTTCTAGTACCCATAGTACAAGCTTTGCTTAGTTTGGGACTAGAAAATGTTGTGTACAAATGTGTCCTAAATATTTATTATTTATTATTTATTTATTACTCTTCTTCTATCTTAGGCGTTCGGAAAGAGGCTCCCTCTGGTGCTCTGGACCAGCACACTCACGGATTACACTCACGTCGAAAACTTCCTAAACAAGGACGACTACATCATTCAGGTGAGAAAGTAGTTAATTATTTATCCTTACTCCTTACTTATATTATAAAGACGAAAGTTTGTATGTATGGATGGATGTTTGTTACTCTTTCACGCAAATACCACTGAATGGATTTTAATGAAACTTTACAATAATATAGCTTAAACATCAAAATAAGACATAGGATATAATTTATATACATATTTTATGTATATCTGTCTTAATGTTACACCTTCAGCCTATTCTACGCAGACGTAGTCGCGGGCAGCAGCTAGTTTTTTATAAATCCTAGTCTCAGTTTGTGTCTTTCGCTTCGGCAGAACGAGTCTTGGCCCCATTCGCATAAATCTTGTTATTTAGTTATGATATATCAATAACTGTCAAGCTCTTAATACTTACGTAATAGATGACTGTCCAATACCCTCAATTTCGGCGGGAAAAAGAAATGAAGATTTCGCTTTTAAGAATTGTGATTATTCTTCGTTAAAAGACAATAAAGCCATTATTAATCGTACTATAATAAATAACTGGTTGTATAAACGGTTTCCACCATTTTGACATTTTTAAAAAGTTAATTTTATGTAGTGTCACTGACGGATATGATTTTGGCGCCATCTGAGGTGCGTGTTATAACGATAAAGTTATTTCTAAAGTCTAAAATAGCAAAAAAAAATTAAATGGAATGAAGTGAAAACTATACTTTAGTAAAATATTATAAGTACTTCCTAAATATTTTACTTGTAGGCATAATAATATATATAATGATTTACCACATTTATATTTACGAATGCCTAAATAAAACAAAAATTAATTCAGTTTTGAAAATTAAAAAAAAGAGTTACATAATATATAACCAACAACATTTATTATTAATCTGAGTAACAAATGTAACCTGAAAACAAATCGGAATTTTAATGCCCTAAACAATGATTTATGGCATGAAAATTCCGATTGGGCATAGAATATCGATTTGGTTAAAACCAGTCTGTAATGAGGATATATTTTCTTTGCGTCGTACCTTCATAAAACATACATAGGTTATAAATAACAGAGAGAATGTAATCACTAAGTTTTGATGTATGCATAGCCTTGTGTTGCCATTAAGAAAATATCCTTATCGTTGCATGTCGTTCGCACCTGTAGGTATGGACCACGGGATCCGACCCCCAGATCTCGAACCTTCTGCGGCGGGGCTATCGCCTGATCATGTCCAACTACGACGCCCTCTACCTCGATTGCGGATTCGGCGCTTGGGTGGGAAGCGGTAACTATGAATAGTACACTTCTTTAATTGCTTACGAGTTGCGAAATTATTGAAACCTATGCACGAAATAATAAAACGGTCGGTTTCGGACCTATCGGAGGAATAGCGGAGGTAGATTAGCGAATGGATTAATTACTATAATGAAATAAAACCGTTGAAAAACTTTTAAGTTAAACGGTTTTATTTTCTGTTTTTTTTTTTGTGCACTGAAAACTACAATATTGTATTGTCATCTAAATTAAATGTGTGTACCAAATTTCAGTTCAATCTGACAACGGGAAGGTGCTTAAATTTCAATTTCTAATTTTGACCCAAATAAACAAATAAATTCCTTACGTGTCGAGCTAAATAAAACCGTTTAAAAACAACTAAAAGACCGAATATTCAAAATGGAACGCGTCTGCAACCCTCGGGTCTAGCAGATGGCCTTGGGCGGCGGTATTCACTACATACTGTACGGTACTTTTCACATAAAAAAAAATAAATAAATTGTTTTATTAAACGATTCGCAGGAAATAACTGGTGTTCGCCGTACATCGGATGGCAGAAGGTGTATGACAATAGCCCTAAAGCAATGGCGGGCCCGCACAGCGATCTGATACTCGGTGAGTTGATTACATCACGAGTAAAACATTTTCAGTAAAAAAAAAAAAACAGAAAAAGTAAAACATTTTTAGTGGCAAAATAACAACCGACTTCAAATATCTCACTCGCCATAGTTCTGTAACTTTGCCGTAGAGGTAATATATCCGTAGCTCACTTCATTTCAAACTTCTCTTTATATCTTGTGAGATATGGTTAATTTTCTTTTATTACGTACGTCACTGAACAAGTAAGTGAGCGATTGACAACGGACGCGCCTTTCGACTGAGTAGTTTAGAGGGAGATGTAAAAACTGCAAATTACCGTGTTCTTGGGAGAGAAAGAGATAAACAATACAACGTACTGTACGCTCATTCACAACTGACTATTAATTCATTTTGTAAACGTTCAACATAATGTTGTTTTTTTTAAGGCCTAAAAAGTAAAAAAAGTAAGAGTAACAACCTATACATGTCCCGCTGCTATGCAAAGGCCCCCTCTGTACATGTATTAGGTACTCCCACTAAGCCACCTCACTGCGGATTGGCAGACTTCACATATCTTCAAAATAATTCTTTTGTTATTATTAGTCGGTTTTGTTTTTCGCTAATAATAATGGACTTGTTTCATTCCGCCGGTTCATTCGTTACCCTCTGTACAGAGGGTTTGCCCAGCTGTGGGACACATATAGGCTGTTACTTTTTGGTGGGTTGTAGGTTTTTTTTCACCCGATATCCTCTGTACAGAGGGTTTGTCCAGCAGTGGGACACGTATAGGCTGTTACTTTATTAGTGGGTTGTAGGGTTTCGTTCATCCGTTATCCTCTGTACAGAGGATTAGCCCAGCAGTGGGGCGTGTGTAGGCTGTTACTTTATTGGTGCGTTGTAGGGTTTCGTTCACCCGCTATCCTCTGTACAGAGGGTTCGCCCAGCAGTGGGACACTTATAGGCTGTTACTTTATTGGTGGGTTTTAGGGGGCGAGGCGGCGCTGTGGACCGAGCAGGCGGACTCCACCACGCTGGACGGCCGCCTGTGGCCCCGCGCGGCCGCCATGGCGGAGCGCCTCTGGGCAGAGCCGAGCAGCGATTGGCACGAAGCCGAGCACAGGATGCTCAACGTCAGGTGGGTGTGGTTTGTTTTTATGTGATCAGTTGCCAAACGGGCGGACGGTTCACCTGAGGTTAAGTATAATACCGGGTTAAGTGAATACCGCCGCCCTTGGACATCTGCCACATCTGAGGGTTGCAGATGCGTTGACAACCTTCTTCGAAATTGGGCTCCGGCCACCTCACTCAACATACGACACGTGAACGTATTATACTTCCACTTAACGCCGGTCTTCTGTGAGTTCGTGGTACTTACCCGGACGAGCCTGCCCATTCGTGCAACAGCCGAGGCTGCTGCGGGGCCCTACCTCCCTGTGGTTGCCGTCCAATTGCCATTCAGGTCCGTAGAGGAAGGAGGTTGCCCGCGGTGGTCCTCCAGGTGGTGGATATCGCTTTTTCTGTCCGGGACTCCCACACACCCCTGCCGTTGAACCAATCCAGCGCCAGGGGATCCATAAAGGATATTTACCACGGAAAAAGAACAAAAGAAATTGGTGGTTACCGTCCGTAGACGTTCTTAGCGGAAGGAGATTGGCCATGTTGGTGCTCCAAGTGAGGGATACCCTCCGTAGATGGTCGTAGTCGACGGAGATTGCCCATGGTGGTCCTCCAGGTGGGGAATACTTGCCGTAGATGTTCGTAGCTGTAGGAGATTGCCCATGATGTTCCTCCAGGTGTGGGATACCGTCCGTGGACGTTCCTGGTGGAAGGAGATGGTCCACCAGGTTGTGGATGCCATCCGTGGACGTACGTAGTGGAAGAATATTGCCCAGTTGCCTCAATCGCCCAACCCATATACCCATTTATGTAATACAGTTTGACACTCAAACTTAACGAAACCTATGATAAATTTTATAGCAAGCGATGTAACAAACATTGCTTGTTATAAAATTTTGTACGAAATAAATATTACACATACGCTATGTATTGCGTATATGGTGGTAACAAGCAGCGCAATGTTAACACCAGTATGCTAAAATACTAAAAAGCGTGCGGCATAAACGCAAGATTATTTTTAAGAGAGTCTATTAAATTGTGTGATTGCAGGGAACGCTTGGTGCGCATGGGAATCAAATCGGAATCTCTCGAGCCAGAATGGTGCTATCAAAATGAGGGATACTGTTATCATTAACATTCCGATGGAGATTATATTCGCTGTATTCCTTTATTTTTAAATTTAGATAGTAAAATATTTAACTGCTGTTCTCTCTATTTTTATATTTTTATGTACGACAGATTATTCTAGTTTTATATCTATGTCAAAGTACACACCGAAAGGCGAAAAAATAAAAGGCCCACTGCCTTCTTTTACTTAGTATTCTACTCATTTTACTTAACGTTTATTTTATGTAATTTTAGAATTATTATGTACTTACATTTGTATTGTCAATAAAAAAATATATTCACATACTTGTGTTTTATTTCCATTATAATAGGTACGCAAAGAGATAAAATAAGATTTTCTTTATATCACTTCATTATTATTTATATTGAATTTTGTCGTGTTACATACGATACAGTTATATTATAGAAGCTGAACAAACATTGGATTCACATGAGCATCAATTAATTTTTTTTTCCACTGCTGAACATAGGCCTCCCCCATAGACTGCCAAGAAGTACGATCCGAAGCCACCTGCATCCATCCAGTTTAATCAATATGTTAGTTAATGTATATGTTAGCAAATTATATAATGTTAGTTCCTCCCATCCCGTTCAACCTGTTTAGATGACGTCTATTTTACCTCTATAATTTTAATTTCCACCTTTCCCACATTCGAATTAGCTTTGGCTAATATTTCACAAGTCTACGCTTTTGACTATTAAAATATTTGATATATTTGACTCCATCCGATAATAATGTTTTAAATTTATTTCGTATGAATAGACTTTTTTAAATACATTAAAGGCCAATAACTGCATCACCACGAACCATTCGGTTAGATGTTTCTCGAGGTAGATGTAGTGATATATTATAAAATAAATTGAAGTCCGTCAGCGTAGCCATTTTCAAATATGAAAAAAGATTTTAGAGTGAAAATTAATAAGCAAGCTCGTAGCTGCATGCAAAAATAACATGCGTGTGCATTCATTTTACTTGTTCTCTAAAACCAGCAACCAGATGCTAAAATATATGCCTACTTTTTAGCAGTAGTTTCAGTATTCATATTTTAATATGCCTATTTTGCAAACTACATAAACATTTCAGGTCAAGTTTTCTAACAGAACCAACGTCGTTAACTAGACATGAATCACGATTCACAGCAGGGCGTCGTTATGTATCTAGCTTTAAACGCTGAATTAACTCATTGCTCATTGATTTTAAACCAATTTCGTCGCATGAAACCGGTCGACGTGGGCCACTGAGTAGCGAAGTTAAAGTGGGCTTGGGCCGGACACATGTGCCGAAGAAAAGAGGAACGTTGGAGCAAGCGCGTTCTGGAGTGGAGACCCCGGCTAGGCAGGAAAAGTGTGGGCAGACCACCAGCCCGATGGTTCGATGACATAAAGGAGACAGCAGGCCCAGTCTCGATAAGGGAAACAAAGAGTCGTGCCAAATGGAATAAAATTGGAGAGGCGTATGCCCAGCCGTGGGCGAACACACGCTGAAGAAGAAGAAGAAGAAGAAGAAGATTTTAATTAATTAAAAAATTGAAACATTAATGCAATAATAGATTAATAAAAAGAAAGTTTAAAAGGATTTAGAATAAAATTGTATTAATAAGAAATTGTTGCGAATAATATCAGTCATGTTTTTCGTTGATGCATAGCTTACTCTATGGTCCCTAATATCTTATCATTACTCTTTGCTCGCTGACAGAGCCCTTTCATTGTTGTCAAATTGTCAATCATTGTCAATTGTCAAATTTATTTACATTTAGCTCCAGAGTCTGAGTACTTTCCAAATTTTTTCAGCAATTTAGTGGATATATTCTATTGAAAATACAACATGAACTGTTTTGAAAACGTATCTGTACCAAACTGCGTGTGGTTCGATGGCGGGGATAAAAGAAATGCTGTGGCTTCAATACTTGCAGGTGTTTTGGTACGTAATGTTTCGTGATTCATTCACATTTTTCATTGAAAAAACTCACCGTCAAAGTTAATTCAAATTTCGTATTCTTCTTTTGCTTTCTTTCAATGCTCTCAAAATGTATTTTTAATACGTTATTTGAAAGTAAAAAAAAATAAATAATAGCTTACCTAGTTAGATTTTTAAAAGAACAAAAGCATGTCAAAAATGGCTTCTATAACGTGGTTTTAATTTTATAATGAATTATATTGCATGCATCTTGGGTAATCCTATATAAATCCATATGATTAAAGACAATAATTTTGTAAAATTATTAAACTATTTTATGTTTTCTATAAGTTATGTCCACTAGAAGTACTAAGAGTATAAAATCAAGGTAAAGGTAAATAACTTTAACTCCGGCGTAATTCAAATCAAATAAATTTTAAACGATAGAGATAAATCTCTAATGAATTAATCAACAAGCAGAATTCGGCGGTCGCTTATAGTTTTCGAGAAAAAAAATATTTAAAACTTGTTTTTTGTACTAAGAAATCCACCATTTTATTTGTTTGACTTCAAAAGTTCTTTACACAGTTCTGCCAACATGATAAATATAGGAAGCGGGCGCCATCATACACGTATCGATATTCCGATTTTTTAAATTTAATGAGTCACAGAACCAACACAGAGCGAATCCGACTCGGATAGATTAGGTTAGAAGGTTCAGGCGGGAGCTCCGCTCCCGCCTTAACCTTCGATGTTAGGTTTTTTTTTTATGACCACCAAGAAATACGAGCTGAATTGACATATTGACAACAAAAAATGGCGGATTTCTATAGTAAAAATCACACTATTTCATTATTTATTTTTTCGAAAACTATAAGCGACCGCCAAATTCTGCTTGTTGATAAATTCATAAGTGAGTTTTCTCTATCGTTTAAAATTTATTTGATTTGAATTACGCCGGAGTTAAAGTTATTTACATTTACCAAAATCAATACTGTATTTGTGCTGTGAAGCAAATTCAATTGATCCTTTTTTAAGACTTTGTCTAGTCTACTTTCCTATTCTCACAGATCTTTGCATGAAAACTCCAGTTCCTATCAAGGTTATTGCAATAAAAAAATTATAGAATTAGATGCTACACAGATTTTGTGTATAGGTGGACATAATGCCTGAAGCTATTCTACGAGCCAACCTATTAGATGATGCAGAGTCTAATGCCTCAGTTTGTCCAGTTTTAAAAGAAATGTAATAGACCCATAAAAATTATTTTACCAATTAAGGCTAGATAATTACTAATTATTACTGGTTCCCGCCAAGGTTCCTCCCTTGGTTCGTGTCTTCCGCCCTGTTAGCCGATTGTCCATTTTTCGTTAGCAGTGTGTTATGGAGCATAGTGGAGCCGACGGCGTCTTCGTGTCGTCGTCGTGCACTAGCTACGTTGTTCTCCTGAGTTTGCGAGTCGTCTGCCTGCCTCTTCCATCAGACTTACAGCAAACTACACGTCACAATACAATTTATAATATGGTACAGTGTAAAATTAACAGTCTTGTATATCTTTCAGTTTTTTGCTGGATGGTGGTTCATAATAGATGCTGCATCAGTGTACCCAGGAGATCTTCCTAATGCAGCACATGTATGTGGTGTTATGGCTACACTGTCACTAGTGATGGTCAACTCCGTTTCTAACGCGCAGGTGATTATTTTTGTAATTTAACTGAGCTTTCAAGTTTGTCCTATGTTATGGCTACACTGTCCCATTTTTTTTAAATTATATTCTTGAGATAAATAATGTTATAAAAAATGCTAAATATTTTAAATCACTCCTAAGTAATTAATTACATTCATTTGAACTTATCTCTAAAAAGTGCGTGATTTTTACGCAAGCCATTTATTTTACTCGCGATCATTCATAACTAACACGCACATAAGTTCGTGCACAGTAAAATTCAGGTATTTATGAATGACTACCGCATTGTCAACACGTTCTGTTTTTTAGGAAATAGAATGGAATTATTTTTTAAAAAAAAACTTTGTTTTTTATTTCAATAAACGATTATACTACCGAGTCTGAACCTCCTGTGTAAATTTGGGCACTTCTCAAAAAAATCTCCCTGTATAGGAAATATAGAAAGGGCAATAGAAGGTGTCATCAATTTTCATTTTATTATATTGTATAATCTCTGGGCATACCTGATTTGTCTTGATAGGCAAGACTGATGATGATAATTTTTTTATTTACCAGGCATGTAGTATGTTTCCCAATTTACTTTCACTGTATATTGAAAATATTGTCTGGAATTAGTATTTTAGTTAAATAGATATTTACAATTTGATAGTGAAGTACTGCAAACCATTAAGTATTTAAATGTTTTATTGAAGATATATAAGTTTATGCAAGCAGCTTAATTAAAAATGAATGACATGAAAATAAGTTTTAGTGAGTATATTATTTCTTAAAGTATTTTTTCTTCTAATGCCATGGAAGTTATCCATAATTCTTCATCAAATTTAATTATTCACACACCGTTTGAAAGCAACATAGAAAAAAGTTAATGATTTCAATGAAAAAAATTCTCTTAAAAATGATAATGCCATCTATTCACAATTTGGTTAAATGAAAGGTAGCGAAGAATTCTGAAATACAATTGTTGTATATTGATTATGTAGAGGGTATAATAATTGTAATATTAAGCGAAGGTAGTTTAATAAATAAATGAGTTTGTTTGCAACCTTGTCTGATGTTTGTATCTTTTAATGGCGACGAGGAAATTAATTAATTTATTGAGTAAAATGGCGTGCAATTTGTCTAATGTTGCGTTTCCCGGACAGTTTGATCCACGGACTGATAATTGGAGTGAATATAAAGAACGTTTTCTGTGTGCTTTAGAAGCAACGAATGTAAATGGTGACGACGTAAACAAAGCACGTGCGTTGTTTTTATCACAATGTGGAAAGGAGACTTTTTCATTAATTGTTTCATTATTAGTGCCTAGAAGACCTACTACAGTGGCATTAAATGACATTTTGGCAGTGCTTGACCAATTCTATGAACCTCAAGTGAATGAAATCTTACAATCTGATAAATTTCATAAACGTCAACAAAGTCAAAGTGAAAAATATTCAGGAATATATTGCAGCTATCGGCTCGCTGGCTTCTAGATGCAATTTTATAGACTTAAAAAGACAGCTAAGAGATCGGTTAGTGTTAGGTGTGCGCGACGAGCGGCTCCGATGCGAGTTGTTAAGGACGAAAAATCTTACGTATGAGTTGGCGGTGCAATTGAGCCTAAACTATCAAGGCACATTTTTGGATTTGTACCCAGATACAGGGTTGTTAAAACAAACTCCGTCCACAATCACGGAACAGATGGATATTGGTCTAATTAAATTGATCAAGTGTCGTCATTGTGCACGGTCACACAACAGTGGTGATAGATGTCCTTTTATAAAAGCCAAATGTTTTTATTGCAAAAAAATTGGACATATTGCTGCTGCTTGTATGAAGAGACCTAACAGAGTGCACCGGGTGGAGGAAAGTCTGACTTCCAATTCTGGAGATGAAAAACCTAATTACATGATGAGCACATTTGTTTGTTCAGATAATTGCCGATCACCATTGAAAGCAGAAGTAATTATCAACAGTGTAAAGGTTACTATGGAAGTGGACTCGGGTGCTGCAAGGACTATCATGGCTGAAGAGACATACAAAAAGCTGTGGGCTGTTCCACCACCATTAGAGAAGACACGCGTGAAATTGGTGACATGGACCCGTGAAGAACTAAAGGTTTTAGGTCAAGCTCATGTTCAAGTGTCATTAGGAAACAAAGAAGCTCAATGTGAGCTGTTAGTGGTTTCTGGTTTTGGGCCTAGCCTTTTAGGAAGAAATTGGTTTGATATTTTGGGCATTGAGATAGCTGGTATATGCTGGACGGAAAATGAGAAGATTGATGAAGATTGGACCACAAGTATCGTTGAAGTTACGACCTGATGCTTCTCCGCGTTTTTTGAAGGCGCGCCCTGTACCGTTTCCCTTAATAAAACAAGTAGAAGAACAATTGACGCGAATGGTTGATGAAGGGATTTTAACCCCTGTAAAATATTCCCAATGGGCAACACCTTTAAGAATTGTGAAAAAGGATGATGGCTCCCTGCGCATATGTGGTGACTACAGGTCTACTGTTTATCTAGCAATTGAGACTGATACCTTCCCATTGCCAGCTGCTTGTGAATCATTTGTGAAATTAAGTGGAGGAAGGGTGTTTAGTAAAATTGATTTGAAACAAGCATACATGCAGCTGAAAGTGGATGAGGGCACTGCTATGCTTTTGACACTCAATACTCCATTAGGTTTAATGAAAATGAACCGTCTCGCTTTTGGAGTAAATGCAGCTCCTGGTATTTTCCAACGTGTAATGTCTACAGCACTGGCAGGGATGGATGGGGTAGCATGTCTTTTGGATGACGTGGCTATTACTGGCAGAAATAATGAAGAGCATGATCAAAGGCTATGGGCAGTCTTGACTAAATTAAATACAATGGGTCTTAGGTTAAATCTGAACAAATGTGTATTTGCGTCAAATCAGATAAGTTTCTTGGGACATATGATTGATGCTGAGGGATTGCACCCATCATTGATTAAAGTAAAAGAAATAAAAGAGAAACCCGCACCTAGGAACAAAGAAGAATTACGTGCATTTTTGGGGTTATATAACTTTTATGAAAAATTTATTAAAGATAAAGCCACAATACTAGAGCCCTTGTATCGATTACTGGAGGCAAAGAAACCTTGGATATGGGGTCCATTGGAACAAATTGCTTTTGAGAAAGCTAAAGATGTGTTGTCTTCAGATTTAACTTTAGTTGGTTATGATTTAAAGAGAGAGTTATTGTTAATTTGTGATGCATCAGACTATGGTGTGGGTGCAATTATTGCACATGTGATGGATGATGGATCAGAACGACCAGTGATGATGGCATCCAGAACGTTACAACCCCATGAACGACGGTATGGACAAATCGACAAGGAAGCTCTAGCCATAATTTTCGGAATTACAAAATTTCATGAATTTCTGTTAGGAAGGAAGTTTTTGTATTATTACTGACCATAAGCCGCTAATCGGTATATTTAGTCCAAATAAACCTATTCCTGATCAAATTTCACCTAGATTGTTACGATGGTCATTAAAGTTGGGGTGTTATGAATATGAAATTAAATATAGACCTGGGAAATATATTGGTAATGCAGATGCTCTCAGTCGATGGACATCTGTAAACACTTCAGAAGAACAAGGAGTGGATCTATTAGCCGATGTGTTACTCCTTGAGGAACCTCCCCCTGGATTGAAACTGGATGCGGCAAGAATTGCTGCTGAGACTAAGAAGGACCGCGTATTGCAAAAGGTGTTATTTCACGTCCTACATGGTTGGCCTCCTAATAATACTGATCCCACTCTCAAGCCGTATTGGACACGTCGTGAGGCTCTTTCACACAATAAAGAATGTCTATTGTGGTGTAACAGAGTCATTATACCTGCCTCCTTACAACAGCAGGTACTGAAGGTATTGCATGCACCGCATGCTGGTATAGTCCAGACGAAAGCTTATACTAGAGGATACGTATGGTGGGTTGGTATGGATGCACAAATAGAGACTACAGTGGCTGCCTGCGAGTTGTGTCAGGACGTAAGAAACAATCCACCGAGAGAACCACATGCTTGGATTTTGCCCGATAAGCCATGGAGTCGTGTCCATGTTGATTTTGCTGGCCCATTCCAGGGGAAGGTCTTTTTTGTTATGATTGACAGCTACAGCAAATGGTTTGAGGCTTCTATATTACCTAATATGAGCAGCGAAGCTCTTATATCAAGTTGTCGTAAAATTTTTGCCACACAGGGACTGCCCGAAAAATTAGTTTCGGACAACGGTAGAGCCTTTAGCTCGAGTGAATTTAATAAATTTCTGCAAAATAATCGTATCGAACATTTATATTCGCCCCCATATCACCCGGCTACGAACGGACAAATCGAGCGAGCGATACAGACGTTCAAAAACTTAAGAAAATGTCGGATGCAGGGTTGTCATGGGCTGAGAAACTGCCTCGAGTGTTATATTCGCTCAGGACGGTGCCGAACCATCTAGGAAAGACTCCTGCAGAGCTGTTGAATGGACGTAAATATAGGACTGCGGTGTCAGCATTGCATCCGGATAGTGGGCCAAACCGCTCGGAGCGACAGCTGGAGGAGGAAGCACAACGGACTTCTACCCGAACCTTTGCGATAGATCAGCCAGTATTTGGTTCGTGCCTATGGACCAGGAGAGAAGTGGCGACGGGCCACTATCGAGTATGTCGAAGGTCCAGGTTGTTATAGGGTGAGAACGGAAGATGGACAGTTGATCCGTCGACATGTCGACCAAATACTGGCACGGTCCAACGCCCAAACCGTAAGCCGGTCTCCTGACACCTTGCCCATATCACCTCAATTCCGCAGAGTATCAAGTTCAACTTCTGGATCTGAATCACCAATACGAATTCCACCACCAGAAATGTGGCCTGAAATTATTGGCATACCAAACGCTGACTGAACTTGTGATAGAGCAAGCAGTAATTATTTACACATTATTAGAAACAAACAATATTACAGTTATTGGTTGGGACTGTTATTGTTAATTAATCCTTAACATTATGTTGTAACTTGATTATTGTGATGGAAAGGTATGTTGTATATTGATTATGTAGAGGGTATAATAATTGTAATATTAAGCGAAGGTAGTTTAATAAATAAATGAGTTTGTTTGCAACCTTGTCTGATGTTTGTATCTTTTAACAATTTCTTTCAAAATAAGATACTTTTCATTGATATTTACTTATAACTTTACTGTATATATTATGTTAAATTCACCGCTCCATTTTCATTTACTTCTAGGTTCGAGGTGAGACATATACGGGTGGTTGCATGGGGCCGCGTGGTGCTCGTCTATGGCTTTTCCTTGGTTTTGTTGTGGGCTTTGCTTCCCTCATTGCGGCCTGTTGGATTTTGTTTGCTAACTACGTAAATGCTGGTAAGTTAAAAATTATTGATAAATCTCTTGAATCTCTTAGGTTATGTATTAAAATAGTTCACATGTATTTTATTTTTTTATCTGGTTAATAAGTGTGCTTATAATTATAAACAAAAATGTTGGATTAAAGTAATATATAAAAAATATTAAAAGTAAATATGTATAGTAAATCTCGCATAGTTTTAACAATAAAAAGCTAGTACCCGGAGGACCGAGCTTTGCTCGGTTTGGTTTTTTTTTTTTGGTAAATCGTGTGTTTTGGAAATTACATTTAGATACAAATTACTGAGTAGTGAAATATGCATAATATTTTTCGATCTTACCGACGTAATAATAAAAAAATATGAATTGATGTTTTTCACAAAAGATAGAACTTTAAAAAAAAAGGGAAAAAAGTAACAAATCGACAAAAACTTAGTAATAAAGAAAGCAATGATCTGGAATCGAAAAAAAAAAGTAAAAAAATAATTGTGTAAATGATCGTGACACGAACCACGGCCTTCTGTTTCGGGGCCGCCCGTTTACCGACCGAGCTATTATAACATTTTTTTTGCGGCGAAATTTACCGTCATATTCGAATGATATTTTTCATATACTGAAAACAGGGATAAAAGGACATTTTCTAAAAATGAAACCTAGCTAGATCGATTTTTCGCCCCCGAATCTACGCACATACTAAATTTCATGAAAATCGCTGGAGCCGTTTCCGAGATTCCGATTTATATATATATATACATATATATATATATACATATATATATATATATATATATATATATATATACAAGAATTGCTCGTTTAAAGGATAAGATTAACAGGGTCAAAAGAGGAATATCATGTCATAAAACAGTTAATATTAATAAATAATGTTTTAAAACTTGCAGCTTTAATAATATAGTTTTTTTTTAATTTAGACTTTCCTATCTGCTTGAAGCAAGCTTGTTTTATAAAAAAAGGAAAACCAAAAGAATAATAATAAATTAAATTTTTCAATTTAGTGAATATGGATAAATTTACTATATTGATATGACTCATTTTGCTGCAGATAAACTTGTGAGAATAGTAGAGTGCTATAAGATTGTATTTCTTGCACTTGGTTATGTAAAAAGTTTCTATAAATACATGGTTATGTGACCAATGTTGATTGTACATTTAATATCATAATCCAGTGTATTGGAAGACTAACATAGGATATAGTATGAATTTAACTCACTTTAATCTTACATTTACCTTGATCTTTTCACTATTTTCAGGCAGCAGTAAGCACACTTGGCCCGGAGTGAGTCTGTTTATGCAGAATGCGTTTATATTCGCGGGTTCACTGGTTTTCAAATTCGGTCGCACCGAAGATGTATGGGGATAAATGTGAACATAAAATAATCTGTCTCGAATTAATGCTCTGCTGCAGTAACATATTTAGTAACAATATTTTTTGCAAATTAAATACGTAGTTAAGATTGTGAAGTCACATGTTGGAGTAATCATTATCACAAATTATTTTTTCTTATCATTATTACATTTGTTAAATTCACATAGCCTTAGAAGGAGCTAGAAATGATACTGTTTGAGTTATGTTATAAGTTGTTAACCTATTTTATTGATGGGATTTCTGGTTATATGTAGTTATTGCATGTTAGAGATGTTTCAGTTTACATATACCAGGTCTAACTATTAGCCCTAACGGTGAACAAATCACAAAATTATGAATTTAACAAACACAAAGTGCAAATTAAAGTATTGGTGCACTGTAAAATATGTTCAAGACAAATTATTAAAGAAACGAAATTTACAAATCAGAAGAAATAAATATAATAGAGTTAAAAGTTCATTTTATTTTTAACTATTTAATTCGTAAATTGGTGGTAATTATATTTTATATAGCTTCTCATATAAATCTGAAAGTATTTGATGGTATTCCAGTCCATGAAACATGTTTTATAAATATAAAATTAAAATGTTGCTTTAAAGACAGTTAGCTTAGATTTGTTTTGTTTTAATTATATGTAGAAACATAAAAATACCACTATTAGCGTACTATGATAAATAAATCAAAATAATAAATTCAGATTATTTATTAGTATTATATTTACATTAAGAATACAGATGGCACGTTTTTACATTAGAAGTTTGGAAAATGATTACAAAGTACTTCGATCCAATCCTAAAGATTTAAAAGGTCTACAATATAAATAAAAATGATGTATGTATAAGGCAATAAACTAATATTTTAATTAATATCTATTGATTGGATGTATCAAAATAAAGATCTTAATAATTATTATCAGTGAGTATTTTTTTTATTCAATCAAAAAATGACAAAGGAAATCATTATGGCATAAAAACAACAAAATTGAAAATAATTTATTAAGTTATATAGTTTCGTGGAAAGTATCCATCGCTTTTGTGTTAAAGAACAACACGCTTTTTTATACTGAAGAATTGTAGGAATCTAAACTAAAACTACTCTTTGGTAGAATTACGTTTTAAAATCAACTATTTGGTAATTTTTTTGCCTTTAGCACTTTCGCAGGCCTGACGCTATAGTACTTAACAGTGATCGATTTCAGTATGACAAGTATCGAATAGCAAACATGGCACGTTACCGTGTACTTCGACTAAATATCGACATAGGGCCGAATAGTGAAACATGACTTAAATATTTAAAGGCACCTTAAACATTAACCAGCTCTAAAGTTTCACTGAGTAGCGTTTAGGTACAACTTGACGAATTTAGTGTTTACGAGCTGCTCAATTGTTTAAGGCGCCTTTAAATATTTAAGTAACGTTTGGGTATTCGGCCCATAGTTTAATATTATTTTAATTGCAGATAATTCGTGCTGTCATTGTGTCGTCACCGTAACCTTACTAGCGGGTAAACGAAAACGCGTTGAAATGTTTCTGTCGTTATTTTAACTGTTACGTTGATTGTTATGGCGATATTTGCGCCGCTCGCGGAAGAGTTGGTGCATTTTAGAAGGTGTTCGTTTCGACTCCCTCCACACAGCTCCTGCCGCCCCTTCCGTCCGGCAGGCAGAGCTGGTGCGAAGCGCAGTTCCCGTTCCTGTATTGGCACACGTTTGTGTGGGCGGGGCATTGTTCGGGCGCAACCGCCACCCCGTACAGGCGCCTAGTGGCGGCCGCTATCGGCAGCCGCCCTTTCTCCTGTGTCCTCGTGTCTATGTACTCGATGTTCAATCTGTGTAGGTCATAAAAAATTATTAAAAAAAAAAAAAAACAATCTGTCGAAGCGGGCCATAAAGTATTTAAAAAAAAAAACAATCTGTGGACGCAGGTCATAAAATATTTAAAAAATCAGTCTGTGGAACCAGGCCTATAAAATATTTTAAAAAAATCAGTCTGTGGAAGAATGCCATAAATATTTTAAAAAAAAATCCGTGGAATACAAATGAATGGTTACGGATACCATTTTGCTAATTTTGGATAATGCGATCCAAATAAGAATAGGACTGACCTCGCCCTAATTTGTGACGTCATAGCTGTCAATTCAAACTAGGTAGAGTGAGAATGAATATTATTTTAAAATTTGAATTGAATTGATGAATATTATTGACATTCCTATTCTTATCTGAAGCGCAGTGTACTACAGCTCAGTAACATAAGCCGAATTAAGTAAAAAAAAGTAAAAGGCATCTATTGTACAGAGGGTATTAGGGCATAGTCCATCACGCAACCCCACTACGGATTGGTCTTGCAAGCATGCAGCTATTCTCACGATGTTGAAGTTAAAATTAACAATATCATTGGTTCCGGAACATGGGATTGAACTCAGTTCGCTCTAGTAAATTGGATTAAAAGTGATCGCTTCGAAAATGGGCTATCACGAGCCGAATCGTGCTTACAGTAAGATTTATTATGACTGTGCTGCTTACAGTAAGATTTATTCTGCCTGTGTGTTAGAAAACGGAGTGATAATTTTTGTCCACTGTCGCTAAAAGCCAATCTATAAATACAGATAAATAAAACTGGACTGTCTGTTTGTTATATTAAAATAACCGCTTTTTACTAAATGCTTATGGATGTATACACGGTACATATACCAAAATAACATATTTTACAATTTTGTCTGTCTGTCTGCTGTCTGTTTGTTCAGGCTTATCTCTGAAACGGCTGGATCGATTTTGACGGGAGTCTACAGTAAGCTAGGCTACTTTTATTTAGAATTTTTTTTATTTTAAATTCCACGCGGACGAAGTCGCGGGCACAGCTAGTTCTTTAATAAGATTTCTCTGTTCCTACGCCGTTTGCATCAGTCACCCGTTTCAATTCCACCTTTGGTTTAGATATTTGAAAGTGGCCGACTTACGTGCGCCAATCGGTCCAGTAGAAGCTGTCGCCGTTGATGGCGATGCCGAACGGGTGAGAGCAGTTGGCGGCGATCGTCTCCCGCTCCAGCGTGTCTATGGCCACGCACTTAATGCTGTACAGTCCCGCGTCGGCGTAGCACAGCCGGTCCCTGGTCCAGTCGATAGCCAGGGAGTTGGGCAGCCTGACGTCGGCCAGGTCGAGGAACACGCCCCGCTGCGAGCCGTCCATGTTCGCCCACTCGATCTTCGGCGCGGCCCGGTTCCAATCGGACCAGAAGATTTTCCTGTGCGCCAATCGGCTGTTAACTATTTTTATGTGAAAAGTTGCCAAACGAGCAGACGGTTCACCTGATGGTAAGTGAATACCGCCGCCCATGGACATCTGCGACACCCGAGGCTTACAGATTCGTTGACAACCTTTTGAAAATTGGGCTCCGGCCACCTCTCGAAACTCACTACTACTCACCAGACGAAACGCGAAAGTATTTGACATACTTCCACTTTACGCTGGTCTTCTGTGAGGTCGTGGTACTTACCCGGAAGGGCCTGCCCATTCGTGCAACAGCCGAAGCTGCTGCGTGGCCCTACCACCGTTAAGGCGATAGTTGACCGCAGCTAGGAAACTAACTGACAGCAGGTCCAATAAAGTCTCGTAGGCTTTTAAAACAGTTGTTGTAATTTAAAATTCTTTGAGTGACAGGTTGGCAATCGTTTTTGCAAAATGAAAATTTTATTTGTCATAAATTTGTCGAGGTAAAATATTAGTTAAAATAAATAATTAATGATGGCTGCGTTTGCCTCAAAGCTTATAGACTATTTTGACGTAAACTCACTTTAGGATGGGTTACATACACTCATTTTCCATACACAAATACGAAATAATTACTTACATGTCGGTTGTACATGCGTATTACATGTAGGAATAAAAATATATTTTCAGCATTATATCATATAGTTTAGCAGGTCCGTCTACAGCGCTATTGACGAGCTTAACATTTTTACAAAAAAAAACGGAGGCTTTTTTTCATTTCACTCACCCTCTCTGAGGATGCACAGCGATGCCCCTGGGATTAACAATACCGTCAACCGCGAATAGTACTTTTCTTATCTTCCTATCAAGATTAGCTACTTCGATGGTAAGTTTCTTTGAGTCCGTCCAGAATATGTTTCTCGCCGCCCAATCAACAGAAAGGCCCTCGGGTGTCTTGACGTCTGTAAATATAGTGTACACATTAAACTTTAAAACATTATTTTGCTACAAGTTTAGTAATTTTCGTATTCAGCTTGAGTTTTTTTTTATGTGAGGAGGTGGCGAGCGAGCTGGGCGGCGGTTATCGCTAAACATCAGGCGACGGTTCGCCGCCGCCCATTGACATTTACAACACCCATAGACTTGCAGATACGGTGAGAACGTGGCAAACGAGCCGGCGGTTAACCTGACGTTAAGTGATAACCACCACCCATTGACATTTGCAACACCCGTAGGGTTGCCGATGCCTTGCCAACTTATAATAAAGTGTGGCCCGGCTACCTCACTCACCAGACAAAGCGCATAAGTGTAACACTTCCACTTCATGCCGGTCTTCTGTGGGCTCGTGGCACTTATCCGGACGGACCTGCCCATTCGTGTAACAGCGAATACCATTGCTTGGTTCTACTCCAGTAAGGTTGCTCACCGTCGGTCAGGAACTGTTCAATGTCCGAACCGTCGTAGCTGGCCCTCTTGATGGTGTGACCCGCCACGTCGGCCCAGTAGATTTTGCCGATCAGGCAGTCCACGTCCACCCCCACAGCCATCTGGTACACGGCGCTGTTGAGCGGCGTCGCGAAGTTCCTGGGCGAGGCCCTGAAGGGCACTCGAAAGACGGAAGCGCCGTCGCTGGCCACCAGGAAGTTGCCCGCCTGCCTCGGGTTCAGCTCGCAGCGGCTCCCGTTGCCGTTGTAGCCCGGGTTGCACTCGCACTCGTAGCCGTCACTGGTCTTTATGCAGGCGGCGTGGTCGTCGCACATGTACGGGTCGTTCCTGCAGCTGCGCTCCGGCGAGCACGTGTAGCCGTTCCCAACGTAGCCCTCCCTGCAGATGCACTGGTAGGTCTCCCCCACGGGCGTGCAGACTGCGTCGACGCTGCAGTCGCGGGTGATGTCGCACGTGTTCCCGATTGGCACGCACTGCGATATTCCCTCCCCGGCGTAGCCCTGGTCGCAGTGGCAGTAGCTCACTCCGATGGCGTCGTCGTAAAGGCAGGAGGCGTGCTCCGCGCACACCGCCCCGTTGCACAGCTGGCCGTCCGGTATGCACGCGTCGTTCTGGTCCTTCACGTAGCCCTCTATGCACTGGCAGGCGTACTCCCCGCTGCCGGGGTCCGGCCGACACTCCGCGTGATACTCGCAGTCGGAGCTGTTCACGCAGCTGAAGTTGGGCCGGCACAGGTAGCCGTCGCCGTGGTAGCCCGCGGCGCATACGCACAGCAGCTCGCCGGACACCGTGTCCACGCAGTGAGCGTTCGGCCCGCAGGAGCAGCTGGAGCTGGTCCTCTCGATGCACTCGTACGCGTCGCCCTCGTAGCCCTCGGGGCAGACGCAGTGCCCGTAGTACTGGGCCGTCAGGTCGAAGGGCTCGGTTGCCGGGTACGAGCAGATCGCGTTCGGCGGGCAGTCGGAGTCCGTCTCACATCTGACTGGAAAATGAGAAAGTTTATGTCTATGCATGTGGTTTTGTGGTTGTCCCCTGGATCTGCAGAACTGATCCTAGAAATATAAATGTCGATATTTCGAGATCGGGTGTGCAGAGAAGTACGTAGGGTTGCTATACAACCATTGTTGACTCAAAAACAAAACGTGTTGTATGGGTTAATATATCGTCAATGTAACTTACAATAATTGTTTACAGGTTAATTAGTATATAATATGAAAGCACGTGAAAACGTGATTGTATCAAAGTCTACTCACTTCCCGGGTCGTTGTCGGGATTGTTATTCGAATCTGGAGTGTAGCTGCTCAAGCGGCATAAGCTGTTGTCTCTTTCGTCTTTGTATCCCGAATAGCCTGGTGGGCACCTGCATCCATAGGCGTCGCAGTTCGGCAAGACGAACGTTTCGTTATAATCTGCATCATAGGTCGCCGGCGTGGTCGGTTTGGTGGTAGGCGCATCGGTTTTGTCGTACTCTTCTGTCTCTGTACGTGCGGTGGTAGGTGAAGAATTTGGGGTGAAGAATGCGTTAGGGTAGCTCGGGTAGTTTGGTACTGTGGGGTTGTAGCCGGCGTAACTTGGCGGTGAGGGGTAAGTTGGCGGCGAGGGATAAATTTCCGAGGGGTAGTTGTTGGATGGATACGTCGGACTTGAAGGTTGATTTGAATTGCTGGGATAATTCTGTTCATTCGACGTAGGTGGAGGAGTGGCATAACTGGATCCGCGAGGATAATCGGTCGACGTCGACTGCTCTCTGGCATTTTCTGTGCAGTAATAGCCGTCGCCGCTGTAACCTTCGTTACATTGGCACTTGTAGTTGTTGATTTCTATTACGAAACCACAATACGCGTAAGGGGAGCATCGGTCGCATTTGTTCTCGTAAGTCTGCCAGCACCTCTGGCCGTCGCCTGTATATCCAGGGTTGCATAAACATATCGCCTCCTCTCCGGGTCTGTCGACGCACTGAGCGTTGGGATCGCAATTTCTCTCCCTGCACTGCGAAATGCGATTGCAGGTTGAACCGTTCCCCTCGTAACCGTCCCTACATCTGCATTGAAAGCCGCCGTCGTGGTTGTAACAGTCTGCGTTTGTGTCGCAGTTGTGAGTTCCTATGGAGCACTCGTCTATATCTTCGCACACGACGTTAGAATTATCGGAACGAACGCTCGAGAAACCTGATTGACAAACACAAGCGAAAGTGTCCCCTTGTACTACACAAGTGCTGTGGGGACCGCAACTGTTCTTGCCCTCGATGCAAGGGTCCTCTTTGCCGAGAGGCGCGATTTTGTTGCTGGTACCATACCGTACTATGTTTTCTCTCGGCTCGTAACCCAAGTAGTTTTTAGCCACTTTTAAAGTCGACGAGACAATATCCTCTTCCGAAGTAGGCATATACTTGCACGAGTTAAAAGTGAAAGTTTGCGATACTCTCTGCTCGTATTTCTCACCAGTCACTTTGTTCATGAAAGTGCGCGTGGACTCACTTCGCAGGACACCTAGTTCAACGAGGGTATAGTGCTCCTCGTACTCGCAGATGTCCAGTTTAGTTCCCGCAGGCACCGCGGGTATTGTTCCTCTGACGTCCGCGCCGAGCGTAATTTGGTCGAACACATCGTGGCCCACATATTCCTGGTACACTGTAACCCTGTCGCCACTCTCGGGGAAGAATATGTCCGCCGTGTGGTTGAACTGAGCGCCCGTCAGCTGATAACCATTCTTCGCCGAGCTGGATGGCTTGGCGAAGAGCCAGCCAATGACCCCGCCGATTACGCTCAGCTGAAGTAAACTGCTGCCGAGGGAAGGTGGCGCTTGGGAGAGAGCCGTGTAGGATCTGCCTTCGGCTACAACAACGTACGCCTGGATGTCCACGTCGTTCAAGTTCACGTTGTTCACAACGCCGTTCAGCTTTCCGTGGACCCTGAGGGGCACGTCATCCTTTATGCACGACTTCCCGTTGCCGTAGAAGCCTTCGTTGCATTGGCAACATATGCCGGCCTGGTAATCCACGCATCTCGCCTGGGTGTGGCAAACACTGGGGCCGCTCTGGGCGCAAGTCATGGACTCCTCCTCGACTTCCTCTTCCGTCTGATTGTAGAGATCCGGGACGGCTATGTTACCGCCCGGTGGGATATTGCCAACTCTAAATACGTATCTCCCCGGCTCGTGTATGTTAGTCCATCTGGAAGTGAAATGATACTACTTATTATATTGAAACAAATCTAAGAGCAGTGGTAAACTGCACTTGATGCGATGACAATTTACCTTTTTCTGCTATCGTATTGTATAAGCGATTATTGGGCTAATCGAGGTGAAAAATAATAGTCACTACTTTTTTGTAGTCCCAATGTTAAATTGACACTGATAAAAATTATATGCATTAATCGTGATTCCTGCAACAGCCGAGGCTGCTGCGTGGCCCTACCACTGTCAAGTCAAGTTACCGTTAAGTCAAGTAGTTAAAAGTATAATAAAGTAACGTAACTGGAATATTTTTATGTTGCCGTATGACAGGTCGACATTTTTTAGAAGCGTTCTTGCACGTAATACAAAGGAGCACCGGTGTGTCCCAGACCACTCTCAGATCCCAGACCGCTCTCAACTCAAGTGGCTACACACACTGGTATTTCAGTTCATACCAAAAAAAGACCATTAAGAAAAACCATTTGACACTCACGAAACGATATTCCTGATCTGATGGCTCCCGGAGCCCCTTAGTGAGAACAGCCGCCCATCTTCCGCCACGAAGCCGGCCTGGGCTTTAGCGTCGGGCAAGCTCATGGGCTGCGTCTCCCTCTGGATCCACTGTATCTCCCGCTCAGGGTACAGGAACTCGACGAAGGACTCGGTCCCGTTGCTGATCACCGCAATCTGGAAGGTGTTCCTGCGCTCCGCCCCATCGCCGGACGTTACCTCGAGCCAGGTGGCGACGAACACGCTGTTTACTTTGAAGTCGTAGTAGTCATGGAAGTTGCTTTGGACGACCTCCTCGGCTTTTATCAGCACGTGCGGCTCATTGGTCTCCCTGTAGTACACGGCCCCGCTGGTGGTCGTGTCCACGTTGGTGTAGAACGCCGCTATTGAGGGGTACGGCAGGGGGAACTCTGCGTTGAGGAACCTCGAGATGTCCGCCCTGAACGTCAGCACACCGTAGTTGTTTACCTGCGAAAAAATTGAGTAAATCTTCACATATGGCGATTTTTTGTGTTGACAAACTACGATTAGGAAGAATACGTGCACGTAAAATGCATGTTTCCTACGATGCAAAATTATATCTTGTATTAATGTTAGCTCTTTCAGTCCCGAGACTATAAAACTTCATCGAATGCAGGACCGGTGAGCTAGCCAGGATCCACGGGTTTGACGCCCCCCACAGTATGTGCTCATGCGTGCGTTAGCTAAGAATGTCGCCCACGGACTATCGAGTTTCGGAGCGGACCGCGATAGCCGTGCTGTTCTTGGTTAGTCGGTGGCTGGGGGGTGAGAACCGCCCTGGAACGCGGGTGTACCTAGTGTACGCGTTGTGTTGGTTTCGCGCAATATTATATAAAAAGATGAACGGAGAGTTGTTAATAGAAATTTACTGACTTTTTACGCTTAATTTTACCACAGGATTGAGTGTCTATCCCGTGACCATGAACTCCGTAAAGTGTTATAAACGTCGTAAAGTGAATCCAAAAGAGGTGCGTAAATAGTTTCACTATACAATTTAAATTATTAACGTAAATAGGAAATCATTATTTTGAACTTGAGTTGCATACAGTGGACTTTAGGGCGTCATTATTACCAAAAAATTTAATGGCTCATTGGATGTTATGTGATTGGTTTTTATAGATTTTTATAGTTTTTATAGGGTTAAGGATATATTGGAGGAATATCCTCCAATATATCCTTAACCCTACTAGGAATGGACGACTCCCGGATACCATTCACCAGATGAAGTTCAAGAGTAAATGTCTACACCTTCACCGATTTTACACGAATGACTCCGTGGCGCAGTTGACAAGGTATTGGCTTCGGCGCCGGGGGTCGTGGGTTAGATTCCCACACGGGACAAATATTTGTGTGACCCACAGATAGTTGTTTCATATCTGGGTGTTTGTCCGCGTGAAATTTATGTTTGTAACACGTCCTTACAACATAGGATAATGTTAAACTAAAATAAGGGCAAAGTTTATGAAAAAAGGAGATAAAAAGAAGAATGTGGGTATATAGTTGTTAATCGTAAGGCATTCGGATAATCGAAAGTATGAAGATGAATAGCGGTTATTTCAGATGTCATTGTGTAATACACAATGCCTAGGTGTTTAATAAAAATATCAAAAACAAATTAACGTTTGAACAAATATCAACGTACGTACTACGTATGCACCTCTTTACATAACAATACATATTTTCTTAAATCACATAGGTACCTTCTTAAATACTTCAACTTTTATCATGATATAAAATATTTGGGTTTGTATGCTGGATAGTATATAACAATGGATGCGCCAAGCATTGCTTCAAATGCTAAAAAACAATGCAGATAAAAGACGTTAAGATTTTCGTCGGTGTGGCAGTCAGCCGTATAACTTGGTGGTTAAAGCGTCAGGCCGCGAATGCCGAAGACGTGGGTTCGATTCTCACAGCGGCGACAGTCTTTTCGTACTTTTTCTACATATTTTAATTTGGGTTTAAGTAATTGGTAATTGTCATTTTTGCTACTTATTCTTTTTATCGCTGCACACTGTTTGTTTTCCAACCATTTGAGATCTGTTCCCAGGGTGTGCTTCATAATGCGAGAGATAGTGCTGTGTCATTTTCCACATCTACATTTCTTTTATTTTCAATTTCAATTGCAATTTCTGATAATCGAGTTTACATTGATTATCAGAAAATGAAATTGAATTTGAGAAATGACACACGGCAACTGATCAACGTTAGCTCAAAGCCTACGTGATGGTTAATTGTGATTTTTAGTTGTGACTACCGTGTGAATTTCGCACAATATCGCGACCAGTCAATGAACGATAATATAACGTGCCAACATGTAAAAGCAAACCTTTATCCAAGAAAAGCATTTAGATTTATAATATTTTTTTTGATTTTGTAATATTTATTTGAATATTTATATTTTTTATGCGGAGTTGTTTTTGAGAAAAACTTTATTTTTCATTGTCATTTTAGGTTATTAGAGAAGTACATGCTCTTCGAAATGATATCTCGATCATTTATTTTTATGAAGTTTTATGTGATTTACGTTGAAAGCATTTGAGAAATAATAAACGTGTTGGTTCAGCCACTGTTTGGAGTGAAAACCTCAGAGAGACAATGCAAAAAATGTTTTTTAAAGGTATCTGAACTGAAAATAAGCGTGTGAAATGGAAAACTAATGGCGCTTTTCACTGCAATTCGAATGTCAGATCGACTTTGGGCCTGTAAGCCGTGTCTGTTATTAAAAAGTTAAAGTATATCAAATTAGTGATAAGTGCTGTGATATGTCAGTACCCGGGCGCTCTTTTTCAGGGTTCCGTACCCAAAGGGTAAAACGGTACCCTATTACTAAGACTTCGCTGTCTGTCTGTCCGTCTGTCACCAGCTGTATCTCATGAACCGTGATAGTTAGACAGTTGAAATTTTCACAGATGATGTATTTCTGTTGCCGCTATAATAATAAATACTAAAAAAGAGATAAAAAATATTTAATAGGGACTCCCATACAACAGACATCATTTTTTTGCCGCTTTTATAGATCATGGTATAAACCCTTCGTGCGAGAGTCCGACTCGCACTTGGCCTTTTTTTTAATGTACTATACTGTAGCTAATTCAAAGGTTCAAATATCGGTGCTGTTTTTTTATTTTTTTTTATGTGAAAAACGAGAAAATTGTTAGTTGCGATTTGGGTGACAATTTATCATGCACTTGGTGGTGAAAGCAAAAATTGAGTGTCTTATACATAGAGTGTCTTATATACTAGCGACCCGCCCCGACTTCGCACGGGTTAAATGTAGATATTGAATTTCAGCTTTTCTCTACAATAACATGCTTATAGCCTACATATAAACCTTCCACTTGTATCACACTATTGCTGAAAGCCGCATTAAAAGCAGTCGCGTAGTAAGATCCAAGCTTACAAACATCGGGAGCGACTTTGTTTTATACAATGTAAAGATATTGCGTACTATGCACTAATGCCAACAGTATGTGGGCTTGTCTAGCTATGGGTTATATATGTATAATATGTTGGTGTAATTAAATATCACAAAAATTACGAACATCCTGCTACTCGATTCAGAGTCGCGTATAACTTATCAGTACCAAGAAACAATTATAGGTACCTATATATCTAAAAAAAATCGGTCTATCTGTCAGTTTCACCAAACAATTTACGTAATACGACATAGTGAGTTATCACTTTGATTAGGCCGGTCCATACATTATGCCTATGACCCCGTTTCTGATAGTGCGGTATCAGAAGGTATACGCTGAGGTCCCGACACTTGCTTAACTTGTTGATAACGCCGACACGCTTGAAACTTTTAACGGTAACTCCGGGAGCGTTTTGTTACGCGATTTTAACGAACTCTGAACTATAAAACAGCAAGATGTTCTGTACTACTATCATTGTGTCTATCAGTGATTATTTCCAGCATCTTTATCGCGTGATGTTTCGCTCTCATGTAAAGTTTGATTGGTTAAAAGACACCAGAAAAAAAAAACATATGCGGAATTCCTTATACATGCAACTGGTTTGAAAAACAGGCAGTCTTACGGGGACTGCCGACGGAAGAGAAAACATAAAATAATAGAATTAAAATTGTATAATATTTTATTCTACATATTTTATAGGCACTTAATAACAGTATTTATCATATCCAGAACTACAAATATATTTTGCGTATTCTTTTTTCAATAATAATCCATCATGGAAAACGATCGGTGACGATGACGCGAGTTTCACGCATTTTATTTACCCAAAAAGTATACAGTGTACATGTAGCATACATGGAAATCGTCCGAAATTCTAAATTTAAAAAATAAAAAAGATATTATTTTTAATAAAAAAGTTTTTACCTACACGTTTCTTTTACCTTAAAATAATAAACTACGTCAAAGTTCTTTATTTTGATCTATTCTTAATAGGAATTAAAACTATCTAGAAAACTAATCATAAAAACTATCTACTAAAAAGAACTATCTTTTAAAATTTGTACAGATAAAATTTAGGGAAGGTCACCGGCCAGTGTGGTGAATGGATTAAAAACATAAAAAGCGCAACAACCGCAGTCAGTGACCGCCCGTGGCGCGGGCGCCGCCCACACGCCCACGTGCACTTCCGTCCGGTGCAGTGTGCAGATGCCTTATCGCTTGCAAATTTAAACATTCCGCGCGCACATTCGATAAACGCTATCACTGCAAAATTCAGATTCGGGCGACGTTATATGTCTGTTTACGTACCCGTTGGCAGAGTGGGAGATTTTAATGCATTCAGACAATTCTTTTAACCCTTTGAGGGGTGAAAGTACCTAACGCAATAGAAAAAACTATGAGATTGGAAGTGTTATTAACGTTTCGCAAAGTTACAGGTGACAATTCTGTACACAGACCGGGCACAAATGTAAAATAACATCATGCTTTTTGTGGAAAACTGTTTGGTGTAAGCCTCAAAGACAAACTCTGTCTAAAAACGCAAGTCAGCGCCTTTATGTAGTCGCTTTAACGGATGGTAAGTGGACGAGTCTAAGTTTTAACTATCCATGGATGAAATGAAAAACACCAGTGTTCAGGTATTAATGTCGACATTTAGATCGAGGGTACAATTTCCGTGGCAACTGCCATATTAGGTTATACGAATTGTATGCCTGCAAATTATGTCATTAAATAATTTTTTTAATGTGAAAAGTTGCCCAGCGAGCAGACAGTTCACCTGATGTTAAGTGAATACCGCCGACCATGGACATCTGCTACACCCGAGTGTTCCAGATGCGTTGACAACCTTTTGAAAACTGGGCTCCGGCCACCTCACTCACCAGACGAAACGCCAAAGTATTATACTTTCACTTTACGCCGGTCGTCTGTGAGGTCGTGGTACTTACCTGGACGTGCCTGCCCATTCGTGCAACAGATGAGGCTGCTGCGTGGCCCTACCGCCGTCAAAAGATCAGCAAATTAAGTTTGGTGATGGAATTTCCAAGTTGCCTCTGTTTCTATTTCGTATATATTGAAACATATGAAAAATTGGAACGCTTTAAAACAATAGCTTATACCTATTGTTATCTGGATTTATTAGTTACAACTGAATGGTATGTTGCAATCGTTAAGCTAACATCATTAACTACGTTATAACTTCAGAAATTCCTAAAAGTTTTCTATCCATTTCTAATGATCGGCTATCAAACTCAGTATTTTATAACTAAAAAATACTACTCCACATTTTTTATGGTGCAAAACGAAACGTTTCATCGAGCATTTATTTCTTTTTTTTAAGAAAAAGCGATACGACGTAGTTGCCTGTATATAATATTTTTTAAATATTATATAAGGCCAGTAAAATCTCAAGTTCTCTCTGTGTTCCGCAAAGTCTGGGAATTTAAATAACTTGTGAATATCGTAAATATAGAGTAACGACGTACCATTGTGATAGGACAATGGACTTGTGAAGTATTGAGGACAATAATTGTTGTAATGCGTTTCATAATTAATTTTGTTTAGACAATCCGTTGTTTTGTTTGTCCGTCGCCCTAATTTGCATGTTTTGTTCGTGCATTCGGATTTGGAATTTGAACCGTTCTCCTAAGACTGGCTAATTTAACAACGACATAACACTTCTTTTTTTTCTTTGGTAGGGTTCAAAACATTTAGTGTCGTTTATATTTAAGAGCCGTGATAGCTCAGTGTCCGGGCGCGTGCTTTTAATTTAGCATACTCGACCACTCTGAGTTCGAAACTTGGTGCTGCCGGCAATTGAATGAAATTGTTAATTGTGTCAATTTTAAGTGTTGATATATCACGTGCTCAGTGATGATGGAAAACATTTATCTGCTACGAACAAAAAAAAATTATCTGCTATGGGTTCGCATGGTGGACTATGTCTTGATACCCTCTGATACAGAGGATGCCTTTCCCAGCTGTGTAATAGGCTGTTGCTTTATTTTTTTCTTTTTCTTACATTAAGTCGTAGAGGTAATATCTGCTTATCAAGGAAAGCATAAAAAGAGCTAATTACGATCTATTGAGTTTGAGTTCCAAAAGTGCTTAAGTTATTTTTATACATAAGACATCTGACAAACGGAGAAGTCAGTATTTCGTTTCGCTAAAACTTGAACGAACTTGAGAAATAATATCGGAAGCTTACATCCAATCACTCAAACCATCACCGTCGTCCATTTATCCACAAAATTCACATTTTAAATCTATATATTATGTAAAATAAACTTTTCTTGACTAAACTAAATAAGGTTAATGTAACATGATCATTGTTATTACGTTTAAGATTAACAGATATTGTTGTGTGGCTATCTCTTTAGTCTTAATTGCTACTATCGATTTCTTTCAATGTTTTAATTATCAACTTTTTTAAATAACATATACATCAATTATTTGGGAATGGTGAAAAATTTAAAGAAGATTTTCAAAAGCTATATATATATATATATATAGATATTAATAAATGCCGCGAAGGGAACAAGCTTCATACAAACTTTATAATATTAGTGCGATTCGTCAATATTGTGTAAGTTAGCAATTATTTTACACAGACATACCTTATAAATGTCTATCTATACCTTTAATTTATATCTTCACGTACATTTGTCGCATTCAAGTACTATTTAATAAAAACAATTATAAATCTATACGTTTGATAAGTACATTCGATTATATTTCAGGTACATTTAACATATACAAATTTTATTTTAATAAAAAAAAGTTATAGAAGTCTATCTACACGTACACACGTAATAAGTACTTCTCGTGCAAGATTTATTCACAACACCGGCTGTGACTCACGTATATCGACTCGTAGGTCTCGCCGTAGTTCTATCTAGACGTTTAATTAGTACCAATAAGTATATTTCTAACTCCTCGTGTAAAACTCATTCGCAACACCGGCTATGACTCACGTATATCGACTCGTAGGTCTCGCCGTAGAAGACGATGGGCACCCTGAGGGTCTTCTCGACGGAGGCGTCCTTGCCAAGCCGCTCGTCCAGCGCCGGCCCGTAGGGGTAGAACTGGTCGCGGGTGACTGCGCCGGCGCAGGAGACCAGCGCGAAGAGTCCGAATGCCGTCCACATGGCGGCGCGCTCGCATAGAAACTGACCGCGTCGCCTACTACCGCCGTAGCAGTAACGCGCACAGAGTAATACGCTCCAGAGGGGTCAAGCTCGAGTCTGCATTATTTTTTTTTAAGTTATACTTCTTTTGGCGTGCTTTTTTAAAATTGTGATAGTAAAATATTAACGATGCAGGCGCACACCGATCGAAAATCGGTTTGGTGCTTGATTTTAGAACAATATAAAACAATGCGCTTGGCTGACAAAACACCCTTGTTTTGATATTAGGGGCACAGTTTAATTAAAGGCAGAGTCAGACCTGATCAAGACTTGAAAGGAAAGTATTATTTTATTTGATAGCAGAGCAAAATCATAAGGAACTGTAAATGAAATGAAATTATCAGACATCCATGTGTGCAAAATTAAGAAGAAATGTCTGTAATAGTAGGAGTGGGGTTTAATTAAATTACATAGGTACTGATCCAATTCTCACTCCAACTTTCAGTTCACTTATGAACTGTAAAATACTACTGCCAATAAATATTCGTAATATTTTCATATATTTAGTCAATAAAAATTTATTGTGACAGCAGTAGAAGGGCACAGTGTGATGAGACCACAGAGAGATCCGGCTTGGTCTGTCCGTCTGTGCAATAAGCATCGCACTTTAAAACTAAAACAAAACAACATTGTAACATCATACAGCCACAATAATGCGTTCTCAGTTCAATATTACATAAAATAACACGGTCATATGGTAATCACAGCAATAGCGCCGTATATAAAACATAATGACTTAAATAATAAATTAATTACTAAATAATAAATTGTTTTTACAAATAAATAAATATAAAATGACAAAATACTCACTAAACTAAATTATTCAAAATTAAAAATTAGTTCACACACTCTGCCGTGGAATGTGTCTATGCACCGAGACTTACTTGTTGCAAGTAGTAAAGATCATTGGAAATGGTCTATCTTTGGAACAAGGAAAACCCACTCTCTGTATTCCTGATACTTATGGTTCGCATAAATATGTTAAAAAAAATAGTTTAAGTCGAAAAAAAGGGTTAATGTTACATTACGTTTAACTTCCGTTACCATTCTAGGAATTTATCGAAATTGTCATCGCTTGTAAACGTAGAAAGTAACAGATATCAAAAGAGTCTACCTGCTAAGTTTTCGTGTATTGATTAGTACTGATTATGTTATAAGTTTAAGTGTACTCCTTCATCGGTGACTTGAGAGGATCTAATAACTTCTTTCGGTTACGTTTAAATATTAAATACGTAGTTAAGGATATCCTTTACTTTTTGCGAAATCTAACCTTATCTAATGGAGTTAAGACTGCTGATAGCAGACACTAAGGTGGGCTTCATATGCTAACGTTCAACTTGTTTTTCAAAAATTTGAGATCTTATATTTTATATATTATAACAAACACACACACATATATCCATGTAAGGGACTTGTGTAGATGCACACTACATTAGACATAAATAATGGCATAATAAATTATGCCATTATTTATGTGTACTGATAAATAACATGTTCATACTTAATAAATTATTATTAACAGATTTAAACAAGGAAACATTCGTAGCTAATTATTCATGAGTTAATTCATAAAAACGGGTATAGCTATTTAGGCTATTTTCTATCAGGGCAGTAGAGGCTTAAAGTTTATAGTTTGCTATCTATAAAGGAATCTTGAGTTAGTTATTTGTGAAACATATTAGCATATAGTTTCTATTAAAAGGTGGTAATGCATCTGCAACCCTATGGGTGATGCAAATGTCAATGGGGAGCGGTTATCACATAATATCAGGTGAATCACCTATTCGCTTGCCATCTTGTCACATAAAAAATAATTATTTGTGTAATACTGTATGTATTATTAACCTAGCATTAAGTAAGTTTTTACTTAATGCTACGTTTAAGCGTCCTCCCGTCGGGTCGTTGAAGAGACGTCTTTATAAATGAATAATGCTTTAAATCCATTATTGGCGTCTGTTATGACGGAAATTTCGTGTGTTTCGGTGTTGTGTAGGATTTTGGCGCTGCCCATATATTAGAAGAATTTTCGTCATCTGTTTTCTTTAATCTCCTATTCCAATAAGCAAAAACTCACCGACTAAATGCTGTTTTTCCTTGTTCGCGTTGCAACGGGTGTTGCAATGTTAATTCTAAATATGAATTAAGTAAACCCCGTAACATGCATTTCTACATAGATCGTACTCTGGAAGAGGCAAGAAATGTGTACAGTTCGTTGCGAGTGGAATTACGTCATAAACCTAGTTCTCTGGGTGAGTGACGTTTATGGGTGTGTACGTAAAGCGTTCACGAAATTTACTGAACTGTCGTTAACGAAATTGACTGTTTTAAAATCATCATTCTATTTCCATAAACCTGCTCTGAAACTAATATCGATGCCTAAGCAGCTTCCGTTAGCATCTTCATTGAAAACTAGCTGTGCCCACGACTTCGTCCGCGTGGAATTTAAAATAAATGAAATGTCTAAAATAAATGTAGTCTTAGTTACACCTGAGCCGTGATAGCTCAGTTTCCGGGCGCTCGCCTTTCATTCAATATACTCGAGCAACCTGAGTTCAATCCCCGGTGCCGACACCAATGAAATTGTCAATTTTAAGTGCTAAATTATCACGTGCTCAGCGGTGAAGGAAAACATCGTGAGGAAACCTGCATATTTTCGAAATAATAACAAAAAAAATATATTTGGAAAATATGTGAAGTCCGCCAATCCGCAGTGGGGCCGCGTGGTGGACTATGCCCTGATACCCTCTGTATAGAGGAGGCCTTTGCCCAGCAGTGGGACATGTATAGGCTGATACTTTTAGTTACACCTTATTACATAAGCTATCTGCCGGTCAAAGTCCCGTGAAAATCGTTCCAGCCGTTTCAGAGATTAGTCGAAACAAAAAGACCGACAGCCGGACAAAAATTGTAGAAAATGTTTTTTTTTGGTATATGCACCGCGTATACATCCATATGCATTTACTAAAAAGCGAAAAAATATTACAATCTTGAAATAACCGCTTTTTACTTTACTTTACAGACACTCCGATTTCATTTATCTGTACAGATAATACTCAAACTTATAGGTATGTCTTTTCATTAGTCGTTATTATAAATAAATGTTGCCATTGTTATTGTAAATATCTCGAGGACTAATGACATAAATTAGTCTATCCCAGGAATGTGCTTATCACTAATGAGCCAGTCAGTGTTTGCATGCCCTCATTAATGCAGTTCTGTTGTAGGCGTCACGACACGCTTCCAGTATCTGCAACGTTCATTCAACGCCACCTGATGACTTATGAATTTTATAAGCTACACAATTACTATATTTATTAACTAACATTAACGACGTCTCATTAAACCTCCACGCACAGGGATAATATTATGTTATGTTGCAGAGATATTTTATATTCAGATTTTAGAGGACGATTTTGTTTGTCATTTTTATTAATTATATGATTATAGATTTATAATGTTTATTTTATCATTTAAGATAAAATGATTTTCGCTTAGACAATTTCGAAATCTATTTAAACGATTTAAATATAATGAGTGGACGTTGCGACCTCTTCGTGATTTACAACTTATGACAGCCTCATTTACTTCCACACAGATTACAAATCTTTCAAATCAAATCCAAAAGAAGGGATGGTATTGAAAACACTATACAGATAAAAATCTTATAATACTTTGGTATTTTTGCGTTTTATACGCGTAAATTTATTCGCGTTTGATAGCGAGCTTTTTCCACACGACATTAAATACCGATAATAGTTCGACCTCAAATGAACTTCGCAATGTCAATGTCAACCCGTAAATACTTTGCCAAGATAATCGAGTTAGCATATCTGGTGGATCGTCAGATATTGGACATTAATTCAGTGTGCAACGGGCCCGATCTGGCAATGAGCCTGCTGTCTTTAAACACATATTACATACACTTATATATTACATTTTTATAGCGCGTTTCTGTATGCGGTTGGTCTATGTCTACTATCAACGTGCGTTGTCTCGTTGCATCAATTCCCAGTCTCACTCATTTTAATAAATGCATAAAGAATGTTGCCTACGAGCGTTCGTTTCGAATCCGAGTGTAACTCGTGATTTCAAGTTCGTAGAACAACCCGCTTTTCGCGGATTTTGTTAGTGCAAAATATGAGAAGCAAAAGGTATGTAGAATAAACTCTGCAAATTCTTACCCAGGTAGTTAACCCTACCAAGTACCAGGTACAACACCTTTATTTGGATTATTTACATATTTTTTTATTTTAATACACAATGGGAAAACTCGATATTGGGTAGCGGCTATTTATGAAAGTTAATAATCGAACTGAGATAAACTGTAATTATTATTATAACATAAATCAATATACTTTACTATTAATCAATAATAGAAAGCAAAAATCAATTTACTTTATTATTAGTCATAACGGCGGCATAATTCTATTGGTGATCTCTCATGATCAGGTCAGCTGCTTCCCGGTTTACCTCTCTCTTGAAAATAAAGTGAAACTAAACAACTGCCTATCCATTGTTTTATTTGTTTTATTCTAACTGATGTTTTTCCGTAGTCTAATAAATCTACATCGAAGCCTGAACCCACTAGCTTCACACGGGCTTTCGCGTCTTTGTCTCTTCGAAATCAATTAAAATCGCCATTAATAATAGTATTACTGGCGGAGTGCTACGGTCGGAGTAACTGACAATTAATAACGTAAATTAGTTTTAATATAAACTAATAGCTAATAAACTAATCTAACTATATATATATATATATATATATATATACTAATATATATATAGTTAACTATAAACATATACTAATCTAATAAACTAATATAACTTAAACGTCTACAGTCCGACTAGTTATGGAATGATTAGGACGGTGACTGCTTAAATGTTAGTTTTATTTAGTATTGGGTAAATCATAAACGAATATATTTAAATTTAAAAAAAAATCAAAATGGACTCAAATATTT